ACAACCTCAGAAGGCAAGAACAAGGGTGTGTCCGTATCAAACAACCTCAGAAGGCAAGAACAAGGGTGTGTCCGTATCAAACAACCTCAGAAGGCAAGAACAAGGGTGTGTCCGTATCAAACAACCTCAGAAGGCAAGAACAAGGGTGTGTCCGTATCAAACAACCTCAGAAGGGGTGACGTGACAGAACGCACATTGCCGGCGGGGGGGTTGCCGGTGAGCATGCGGAAGCCAGCAGCAGCGCTCGTGCTCAATATTGTGCTCGCATGCAGCAGCAGTGGTGGCTATGCTAGCAGTGGCAACGGTGGCAACAAAACGCACATTGCCGGCCGAGGGGTTGCCGGTGAGCATGCGGAAGCCAGCAGTAGCACTCGTGCGCATGTTCCTTCTCGCATATAGCAGCAGCTGAGTTCGTGTTTGCGGCAGCAGAGATGGAATACGCACATTGCCGGCGGAGGGGTTGCCCGTGAGCATGCGGAAGCAACACTGTTTGTGCTCAGGATTGTGCTCACGTGCAGCAGCAGTGGTGGCTGTGCTAGCAGTGGCAGCAGCGGCAGCAGAGATGGAATACGCACATTGCCGGCGGAGGGGTTGCCCGTGAGCATGCGGAAGCCAGGCGGAAACGGCTTGATGGTCTCGGGGTTCTTCACGGACGTGCGGTAGTAGAATAACGTCCAGTTGGGCTTTAACTGTTCGAGGGATGGGGGGAGGGGGAGAAGGGCGGGGGGGTGGGGGGAGGGAGATACAGGGCTGAGGGGATGCGGGAACGGCTTGATGGTCTTCTGAGGACGTGTGGTAGTAGAATAGAGTCCAATTGGGCTTTAACTGCCGCATGAGAGTGACGAAGGCATGGCGACGGGAAGAGGGGGAGAGAGGGGAAAGAGGAAGTTGGTGAGGCTTCAGAATTCATGAAGTGGAGAAGAGCGTCCAGTTGGGCTTTAACTGCGGCAGGGGAGGAGGGGGAAGAGGAGAGCGGAGAGAAGGAAACGGCCCCTCGGGGGGAAAGGACGGAGGGTGAGGGGGTGTGAGGGAGCGGTGAGGGAGAACCCTCGCACACACGCGCGTGGGGAAACCACATGGGGAAGGGTGACGGGAGTCGGAACACATTAAGTGTCCCGTTAAAAGTCGTCTCGCTGCCTTGAAGGCGGCCTCGGGAACCTCCCAGCGGCAATCGCGCAATCACGCGCGTCACCCCGTAACGCCTACAATATCGTGAAGCTCTTGCAGCTCTTACAATATAGTACTACTACCAACTTGCACTCTAGCGTGTCTTACTGTCCAGCGGATCTGGGCGCGATTTCCTCTTCTCGCGAAGCAAATCGGTCAGCGCGATCGTCTTCGTTTTTGCCCATTGGTTTTTCGATGTAGCGTGCAATCGTCGCAGCCGGAGCGCCATGTTCTCACGCCGTGATTCAGCGAGGGGTCAGCTTACGTGCTTACGGTGTATTCCCCTGGTACTGATTCGTGTGCTTTAAGACCGACGAGAAGCCGCACGCCGCTGCGATTTTGAGTCGAGATTCAAAAGTGACTGCGTTAAGCTTACGTGCTTGTAAATGTATTTTCCCTTGGCATCCTTCTGATTGGTGCGCATGAAGACCGACGGGAACCAATACGCCGCTGCGTCCGCCTTCAGACCACACGTCGTCGCGCCGCCCACCAGCTTCGTTCCTGCCGCATAACATCACATGAAGCATATCGCATGATTGCATCATCAGGAGAATAACAAACAAATAAGCGCCAATCGAAGATGGGAGGGATCGCACGCCGAGCCGTTCTAAATTGGATGATGAGATGAGCCAAAACCTTCGTCGGAAGAAAAAAATGTCAATGGTCGCACTACCGACCATCGGTGCTGTAGGCGTTAGTTTTCTTGTTGCCGAGAAAATCGTGCAGGTGCGACTTCCCGGGCTGCCCGGGGAAAACAATGGGGTCGTTGCGTGCCGCGTGGCTGAAGTTGCAGCGGATGCGGAACTGCGCGCGAGGAACGTGCTCCGGTCGCAGGAGGAGATCTGAGGTCGCCGTGTGGAGGAGGAACGAGACGACCACGGCAAGCACTATGAGCGGCAGTCGACGGGTTGAAACCATCGCGACAGCAGGTCACAGTGAAAGGAGTTGGCCGAATCTCTATCAAGTGCTCACAGCACGTGAGCTGCTTGAACGGGCTGCCGATGTTGCCTCATAAAACACTTGCAGATAGAAAAAGTCGCTCGGCAGTTGTTTGTGGTGAAAGTGGTGGTGTCTTCATGGCTGTTGCTGGGGGAGATGGCATCACTCACCACTCCACTCACCCTCCCTATCAAATGCGACGCGGTACAACCGAGGGGGTCGGTTCATTAGCTCCCATTCACCTTCTGTAGAGTCACATTTGACAGATCCGTACGTCGCCGATCGACGGCAGCCGTGCCGTGTCGTGCTCCCTTGACACCTCCACGCCAAGCCCAAGGGATTCGGCGGCAACATTTTCCAGGTCGCGACTCGCGACTCGTGACGCCCCTTCGAATGTGGGTCAAACTCCTCAACCAATCATCATGATTCATACCTCCTCGGGGCATGGTCAGGCCAGGGTGGGTCAAACCTGCAACAACAACGCCTGTGTAGCATAAACATCAATAAATGAATATACATAAAGCCTAGATGCAGAGCTTTCTTATATCAGGCCATTTATGGATCTTGACATATTAAAAATTGTATTATAAACAACTTTTTCATATTTTTGAGTAAAAAAAATATTGTTTCCAACCTCTTACATATAATGGTTTCAGATTACCAATAATATTGCATAGAATGTTTATGCTTGTGGGGGAACCATTTTTTTGTGATTTTGCTCCATATTAAGAAATTCACCATTTAGAGTAGTTAAAATGTGAGATGTTTTCAAATGTAAACGTTTAAAATTCAGTCTTTATCTGCATGTACTAGTCCCTGGGTTGCTCGTTTGTCAGATCGCGGCAGCAAAAGCACTTCATCCTCGCTAATCGGGGATGCGAAGAGTCTTCCGCGCAATCGACGCGCGCAATAATGCAGCAGTCTGCGAGCCACTCACCGCGCTCGGCGCTTCGCCTTGAAAACTGTCGCACGGTAGCCAGCTGCCAGAGAGGCTGCGACGATTTCTTGAGCACAATGCCGCGATGAGTTCAAGGCGTCTCATAATTTCGGAAAAAAAACAGCTAGCATAACCTTGAATTGCTTCTTCTGACGTACGCGTTTCGCATTTCCGTTCCACACCAGTAAAGGTCTCCGCGTTAGCCGGTAATTCCCCAGCGCCTTCAGTCAACGCTGGAGCTCCAGCTTTGGCCGTTTCCTTCACCCATTACAGACCTGATCCCTGGTCCAGTGCTGCTGAATCTTGGAGAGAGATGTTTCTGTGGCAGTCTGCTTCATATTTATGATCTGGATGTTCGACATTTGAACCATCTCTAAGATTCCGCATAGCTTCGCAAAAACTTTTTAGGCTTCAGGCTTTTTCTACCGGTCAGGTGACAACCTTAACGTGAATTGGAAAAGAGATAGTTCTAACTGCAGATAGAAATAAAATGAAGCGAAATCCTTCAGACGATCCTGTCTGCTCCGACCAGGTGCCTCTTAAGTCCAGCTCTAGTCCTCGAAGCTTCAGTCACCATGGATTCGACGGTCCTGATCCTTCCGATGCTCCGTCCCGGCGTGGCTGGTCACAACGCCTGGTTACCAATCTCGTCGCGATCCTTCGCTACGGAGTCGGCGGTGTGAAGACCCTGGTGAATGGGGTTCCGGATAGCGACGAAATCTCGACGAAAGTTATCAGCGGACCTGCTGGTTTCGACGGTGCAGATGGAGGCCAGGGGATTCAGGACAAGAAGATCAACGGCTGGACCCTGCTGAGGAGGTTCTTTAGGGTTGCAATTGCGTTCTTCACAGGCGATTGCAAGTGGAAGGCCCGCGGGTTGATGGTGCTGCTGCTCATATTCAGCCTGGGAACTACTGGTGGGTTGTACGCTCCCAGCCTCCTAGGCACATGGTGGGGTGTGTGGCTTCCAGTCTTAGTTATCACTGGGTGAATGAGAAAGTTGAACTGGTGGGTTACGGAAGTGTTATGATACGCTGGACTACTTAAGCTGGGAACATACTAGTTACTGTAACGGGTCGGTGGATTTCTCTGATTGATCCTTACTTCTGCTGATCCTCTTACCGCTTATCATGCTTATCGTCCTTCACATACATTGGTGTCGTTTCAGCATCCTACGCGGTGGTGATTTCGAAAATTCGCAAAACCATTCCAAATGGTACACTTCCTCCGCCTTTCCCTTCATGTGTTCTTCTATCCTTCTTCATCTCACTCATCCCCTTCGCTCTTACCCGATGTCTAACTCCGTAGTTTCGTACACGCAGAGGAGATTCAAAATTCAAACCTCCCCACCCCTCACCTCACCTTCCCAGTCCCCATCCCTACAACCTTCCCCTCATGGAATGGTGTTTATAAATCTGGGTGGTATAGCATTGGTGGTTTTTATAGAGGACAGAGATGGATAAGGTAAGCCATCGGCCAGCCAGCCTCCCCACTCCTCCTCACCCTTACCACTCTCCCCTCACCTCCCTCTTTTGACTCATTCTCTCCGTCCTCTATCTGCTTATCCCCCTCCCATCCCCATCCCCCCAACAGAGATGTACGTGGTCATCTCGTACACGCAGAGGGACTTCAACGCGGACCTGCTCCCATCTCTCGTTCCTCCAATATCGTATCCCCTTATCCAACCCCCATCTCCCCCCAATTCCCATCCTCCCACCAGAGATGTACGTGGTCATCTCGTACACGCATAGGGAAGCCGTCACGCCGTTGCTCTCTCTTTCTGTTCACCCTTCTTTTCCCTGCATTGCTACTCTCTTCCCCTTCCACTCTTCCCCCCACCAGAGATGTACGTGGTCATCTCGTACACACAGAGGGATTTCAACACAGCGGCTATTTGCTCGTTCTGCTCACCCTTCCTTTCCCTGCACTCTTCCCTCTTATCCCCACCCCCCACCAGAGATGTACGTGGTCATCTCGTACACGCAGAGGGACTTCAACACAGCACTGTCAGCCAAGAAGCAGACCGACTTCTACCACGCGGTCTTCAAGTTCATCATCATCATCCTCTTTGCTGCGCCCTTCTTCGCTCTCTTCGACTACGTCCAGGTGAGCACTGGGTACATGCGTCTCAAGGTATGTGCAGTGCAGTGCAGTGCAGTGCAGTGCAGTGCAGTGCAGTGAAGTGCAATGCAGTGCAGTGCAGTGCAGTGCAGTGCAGGTGTGCAAGTGGGAGCGGCTTCTCTTCTTCAACCACGCCATGTGGAAATCATCCTTTTTGCCGCACCCTGCTTCGCTCTCTTCGACTATCAGAGAGTGCATGTGAGAGTGAACCTTACAGTGAGTAAGTAGTTGAGACGTTTCCCTTCTGTTCCCCTGCTCCAACCCCCTTTCCCCCCCCTGTTTCCTCTCCTTTCCCCAGGTCCACTTCATGCCTCCCTTTCGTCTTTCCCCTTTCCCGTGCCCCCTGTCCTCTATCCCTGTCGCCTCTCCCCTGTCCACTGTCCCCTGTCCCTTAGCCCTTGTCCTTGTCCCCTGTCCCCTGTCCCGTGTTCCCTTTCCCATTTCCCCTGTCCCTTTGCCCTTGTCCCCTGTCCCTTTTTCCCTGTTCCCTGCCCCCCGTCCCTTTTCCCCTGTTCCCTGCCCTCTGTCCCTTTGCCCATCCCACTGTTCCTGCCTGTCTCTGCTCACTGATTTTCCACTTGCCAACCGCCCGTCCCTCTGTTGCCTTTCCCCTGTCCTCGTGTCCGTCTGTCCTCTTATTCTTGGAAATCAGGAGCTGCTGTCTCTCGAGTGGCGCTTGTGGCTCACAAACCTCCTGCTCTCCAGATACTTTGGTAAGTGCTGCTCTCCAGATACTTTGGTAAGTGCTGCTCTCCAGATACTTTGTTAAGTGCTGCTCTCCAGATACTTTGGTAAGTGCTGCTCTCCAGATACTTTGGTAAGTGCTGCTCTCCAGATACTTTGGTAAGTGCTGCTCTCCAGATACTTTGGTAAGTGCTGCTCTCCAGATATTCTGGTACGTGCTCTCCAGATATTCTGGTACGAGCTGCTGTCCTGATACTTTCTTGAGAAGTGATTCTCTGAAATACTTAGGAAAGTACCTTGTTGTCAGAGCTCCACTTCCTCTCCTCCTTCCCGTCCTCTTGCCCACCTGCCTTTTTCTCTGATTCCCCCCCCACATTCTCCTACCTTTTTCTTTCCTGTGTCATTGCCAGCCAACCACGCGTTTCTGGATCTGAAGATGGCTGGTTTGCTCGACAACCCCCACACACAACCCTTTTCCCCCAACCCACCCCCACACCCCTCCCTCCTCCTCACCCGGCCTGTGCCAAAGCCAGCCAACCACGCGTTTCTGGATCTGAAGATGGCTGGAAAGCTCGACAACCCCGACCAGCGTATCTGCGAGGACGTGAAGCACTTCGTCAGGACGTCTCTGAATGTGAGACGTCTCAAACACTCTAGGCAACCTGGTCCATCTAGGTCGTTTTAAGCAACTTGGAAAGCTGGACAACCCCGACCAGCGTATCTGCGAGGACGTGACGCACTCTGTGTGCACGTCCCTCAATGTGAGTCTCGTTCGTAGAACGTCCCTCAACGTACGACCATGCATACTGGCTGCAGCATGCGTTTGAACCATCTCAAGCACATCACTCTTCTCCTTTCTCTCCCTCATGCCTACCCTCGCTCTGCTGCCTTGCCCTCCCCTCCCTTCCTGGCCCTCCCCTCCCTTCCTGGCCCTCCCCTCCCTTCCTGGCCCTCCCCTCCCTTCCTGGCCCTCCCCTCCCTTCCTGGCCCTCCCCTCCCTTCCTGGCCCTCCCCTCCCTTCCTGGCCCTCCCCTTCCCTTTCCCCCCTGCCTTACCCTCTCCACGCTGCCCTCGTCGTCTTTTGTCTGCTGCACCCAGATCATAATCACCCTTATCGAGAAGATGATGAATCTCGTCGCCTTCGCCTACGTTCTCTGGTGAGCCTCTCCTCTCCTCGTGCTGTCACTGCTGCTTGCAACAACTGGAAAGCCATGTGCCCTGAGCTTCATACTTGCCTGTGTTTCATACCCGTACGGTGGTCGTCAGAGTGTCTGACAAAACCACTTTTGAGGCGCCTCAAAACCAAACATTCATTATGACAGCTGAATGTGCTCTTTGTCTCTGCTCTCTCCCCACAAAACCCTCACTTCCTCACCCCCCCCTTCCCCCCCTTGAGACGCCTCAAATGTCGTCTGTTAACCCACTTTTTTATTGTTAATATTAGCTCCCTCAAAAGCTGAACGTGCTTTTCACCTCTGCCCTCTCCCTTCCTACCCCAGAGCCCCTTCCCCACCCTCCGCCTCTTCTCTCCCCCACGGGGACATCTCTCCCCGCTGGTCTGGTTGCTGCTGGCCTGTGCGTTCTCAGACACGTTTGTAGTAGTCAGAGTGTTTGGGAAGCGACTGTTCACCACCCTCATCACCCCTCCCCCGCCTTCCGCCTTTTCGCTCTCCCTCCCACACCACCCCACAGGGACATCTCTCCTCCTCTAGTCTGGTTCCTGCTGGCCTATGCAGTCTCAGGCACATTTGTGGTGGTCAGAGTGTTTGGGAAGCGGCTCACGTGGCTGCAGTTCCAGGTGAGGTGGGGTCAGGTGGGGTTTGGTGGGGTTAGGTGAGCTTGTCGTAGCAACAAGCAACAATACGTCGATTCAAAAGTCACCTCTGGAACGTTTGTGGTGGTCATAGTGTTCGGGAAGCGACTCGTGCGGTTGCAGTTCCAGGTGAGGTGGGGTTAGGAGCAACAGGGGACAGTTTAGGTTCAGTTGAGACAGTATCGAATCCATCTGCTGCTTCCATTCTAGTGTACCCTTGTGCATGTGAAGGACAATGTGGAGCCAATCGCATCGCACTCCACCGCTCCCCATTTCACCTCACTCCACCCCACCCATTCCATGTGTCCTTGAGGACTTCGAAATTTCAAAGAGAGGCAGATCTGTGGTACACACATCACCGCACCACACTTCACCGCTTCCCATCCCACTCCACCCCAACCCCATCTTCCCTCGCCCGGGGCTTTTGACGGGGATCAGATCTGCGGTACTCCCTGGTGCGAGAAGGACAAGGTGGAGTCAGTCGCACCACACTCCACCGCGCCCCACCCCACTTCATTGCCCCCCATCCCAACCAACCCCATCTCCCCCCGTCCAGGGCTTCCAAAGAGAGGCAGACCTGCGTTATTCCCTAGTACGAGTAAAGGACAACGTGGAGTCAATTGCGTTTTACAGGGGAGAGGTCAAGGAGGAGGCATCAGCCAAGGTGGGTAGCTGATAGGTAGCGGGAGGCGTCAGCAATGGTAGGTGGTAGGTGGTAGATAGAAAGAGATAGAGGAAACTGCCTTCCTCGTTGGGTGCGAGTGAAGGGCAACGTGGAGTCAATCGCGTTCTACCGGCAAGAGGTCAAGGAGGAGGCATCCGCCAAGGTGGGTGGAAGGCTGCTAGTTCAACGGGATAGGTGAGGCTTTCTCTTCTCTGTGGAGGGTAAGGATGTAGCTTCCTGCACCGAGTGGCCATCACGCTGTGTCCCATGCTCTTCTCACCAGTCCTACCTGCACCGAGGCTCTCAACGTGCGCAAAGATCTGGTGCTGCAGTTCCACCTCTCCTTCAATGCAGCATCTGCTCTGTACCCCTCACCCCCTCCTGGACCCTCTTTCGCCCCCAGTCTTTCCTGCACAGAGTGGCTCTCAACGTGCGCAACCGTCTGGTGGTGCAGTTCCACCTCTCCTTCTTCACTAACCTCTACGACTTCAATCCTCCTCACCCATCTGCACCTGCTTTCCCCCACCCCCCATCCCTCTGTATCCCACGCCTTTTCCAGTCCTTCCTGCACAGAGTGGCTCTCAACGTGCGCAACCGTCTAGTGGTGCAGTTCCACCTCTCCTTCTTCACAAACCTTTATGATTTCGCCACCATCTTCGTCCCTGCTGTCATCGTCGCCCCGCGCTACTTCTCCGGAGATGTGAGTGCACCGCCTCCCCTGCAGTCCCCCTGTGTTGTGTCCCATGCGGCCCTGAGTGCTGTTCATGCCCTGTTCCCTCACCCACCTCTCCTTCACCCACCTCTTCTTCACCCACTCCTTCTTCACCCACTTCTTCTTCACCAACCTCTGTGACTTCGCCACCATCTTCGTCCCTGCTGTCACTGTGGCGCCGCGATACTCCTCCGGGGATGTGAGTGTGTGCTGCCCCTCCCCTGCATTCCCAACCCAACCATCCATCCTTTGCCTTGCCTATTATCAACTTCGCCACCATCTTCGTCCCTGCGGTCATTGTGGCCCCGCGCTACTTCTCCGGGGATGTGAGTGCTACAATCCCAGTGCCGCTCTTGCCCTGTTCCCTCACCCACCTCTCCTTATTCACCAACCTCTGTGACTTTGCCACCATCTTCGTCCCTGCTGTCATTGTGGCACCACGATACTTCTCTGGGGACGTAAGTGCCGCCTCCCCCCCCCCCCCCCCCCTGCAGTCCCAACCATCTATTCGTTGCCTTTTCCAACCATCTTTGTCCCATGTCCCCCTTGTCTCCACCTCTCCTTCTTCACCAACCTCTACGACTTTGCCACCATCTTCGTCCCTGCTGTCATCGTTGCTGCGCGATACTTCTCCGGGGATGCAAGTGTGCTGCCCCTCCCGTGTGGCCTCTCACCCATCTGTCAATTCACTAGCCTCTGTGACGTCGCCACCATCTTCGTCGCTGCTGTCATTGTGGCGCTGTGATGCTCCTCCGAGGATGTAAGTTTCCCCCATTTCCCTGGGGAATTGTTCCCCTCTGGCCCCACCCACCTCTCCTTCTTCACCAACCTCTACGAATTTGTTACCATCTTCGTCGCTGCTGCCATCGTCGCCCCACGATACTGTTAGTGTTAGTCTTCAATCTCACAATTTGTACTTTGTATTTTCTATATCCTAGAGTAGTGTAGTTTGCACATTGTGTTTGGTTGGGTGTACACCTACATCCCAACCAAACCCAAATGTAATCTCCAACCAATCTCCAACCCACCAATTGGAGATTGCCTTGGGATTACCCCCAATCCCTAGAGATCGCCCCCCGATTCCCTTCCCCATCCTTTTCCTACCCCTCTTGGATGTACTTAAAGAGCTTCAAGCTCATTACTAATGCATCGCTTCTAAGCCTATTTCTGACATGGTATCAGAGCCCTTCAACCGCATACGCGGATCGTGATCTTCTTACCTCTGCGGATACTCGTCCCGCAAACCTCGGCGAAGCCATCGTCAACCTCGTCGCCGGTGATTCGCGACATTCGTCGGCGGAAATTCTTCCGCTGCACCTTCCCGTCACTTTCGGCGGAAATTTCTCTGGTAAGCGCATCGTCCGCGCTATAACCCAGCGCTCGTTTTCCAACTTCAATTCGTCACTTCTCCTCGTCGGGCCGCCGCCCGTCGCCCTGCAGCTTCTCGTCGGGCCGCCGCCCGTCGCCCCGCAGCTTCTCGTCGGGCCGCCGCCCGTCGCCCTGCAGCTTCTCGTCGGGCCGCCGCCCGTCGCCCCGCAGCTTCACGTCGGGCTGCCGCCCGTCGCCCCGCATCTGCACTCCTACCCCTTCCCCCTTCCCACAGCTCAACAGGTGCAGCAGCGCAGCCGAGCAGCCGTGTAGCCGCGAAGCAGAGCAGCCGTGTAGCCGCGAAGCCGAGCAGCAGCGCAGCCGCGAAGCTGAGGGTGGTGTGTGGGGGGGTTTGTGGGATTAGTGTTAGATCTACGGAAATCGGCCGATTCGACCTAATTTTGGCGGCATGAAAAATCCTTCTACGTGACATTCCGACGCGGCCGACATTGACGATTTTCGCTATTCCGGTCCGTCGGATTTCAAAATCGGTGACTTAAGAGCGGCGCTCCGCGCGAGAAGGGGTCTCCACCATGGCTCTCTCGTCTTCCACCATGGCGAACCCCATCACCCCGCTCCGCCTTGAAGCTGATGGCTCTAGCTCCAACTTCAAGGCGTGGAGCTACGGAGTTGACAAGCACCTCCTGAGCCGTGACGTGCAGGGCCTTGACCTCAAGGACGTCCTCCTCAACCGTGGCAAGGGGAAACAGCCTACTATTCCCCGTGAGCCGACCGAATCTTCAAGTGATACTGACGTGAGGGCGTACGAGGAGGCTGTTGAGAAGTACCGGAAATGGGAGAAGGCCGATGCTGCCATCATCAGCGTCTTCATCGCCTCCACCCCTCCCGAACTTGTCAACACGTTCCATAACTACCCTACCTCCAACGCCATCTGGAAGTACCTCCAGGATCGGTTCATGAACAAGACGGCGGTCGGCGTGGCCATTCTCATCCCTAGCATGTTTCAGGTCCGCCTTGAGGACTGCTCCAGAATGGCCGACTACATTGCCAAGGTGCAGACCATTCATGGCGAACTCAAGGAGCTGGGTATAGTCTTCCCCGAGCAAGCCCCTGCAGCCGCCCTACTTGTTGGACTCACCTCGGCATATGAGGTCACGAGGAAGATGCTCCTCACACTCTCAGCAGAAGACCTCACCTTTGCTAAGGTCTCCACCGCACTCCTCTCTGCCGAGAAAGACTCCACGGCTCAGGCCAAGGCGTACGCTATCCGCGCTCCCATGCCTCAAGCAAGTGTCGCAGCGGCTCTCGCCTCGGCGCCCTTCCAGCGCAACCGCTTTCCTCCGTGCCCCTACGTCGTCAAGTATGGGAATCGCAAGGGACAAGTGTGTGGTGGCACTAACCACCCCCTCGCCACGTGCTTCAAGAAGAAAGACGACGAATGGTACGCCATTCACGGAGTGGACAAGAAGCCGCCGAATTGGATGCGCTCTCGCAAGGCCAACCTAGTTGAGGTCCAGGACCCCGCTTCTGCTAGTGCTAGTGATGCTGCTCCTGCTGATGTGCGTATCAACCTGTTGTTCCCTGGCACTGCCATGATTAATGAAGCTACCTCACAGTACATCGGCTCATCACAAGCACCACAATACATAGAGTTCACACTCGATAGCGGGGCCACTCACACCGTGCTCAAGGAGACCTTCTCCTTCAAACCTTACCCAACACCTATCCCTCTCTTAGGAGCTGACTCAAACTTCACTACCCTCGCCAAGGGTACCTCCACAGTCCCATGCCCCGCCTTCCCATCCGGCACTGTCACTGGCATGTGCGTGCCTTCACTGCGTCACAATCTAGTTGCCCAAACAGAAATTCAGGAGGCGGGGCTACGCACCATCTTCCCAGAGAACGAGGACTATTGCGACATCATCGATCCACGCACCAACAAAACTCTGGCCCGCTACACCCTCAACAGCAACGGCCACCCAAGCACAGGCCACTATCACACCATGCTCATGTCGCACCCTCTCCAACCCGACCATCCTCTACCACCATCGGCTCGGGCACCCAAATTTCCGCACTCTTGCTGACATGGCCTCCAAGAAACTTCTCCTCGGCCTGCCAGCCGCACTTCCTCCACCACCTGACTCACCAGCTCCCACGTGCCTTGATTGCACCAAGAGCAAACTGCGCCAACAGCCCCATCCTGCCTCACCCACAGTCGCTGCAGCACCACTGGACCTCGTGCACATGGACGTCTGGGGCCCTGCCCCTGTTCTCGCACGAGGTGGCTATCGCTACTTCCTTATTATTGTGGATGACCACTCCTGCTACGTCTCCGTTCACCTCCTCCACACTAAAGCTGAGGCGCCAGAGGTCATCATAGCGTGGGTCAAGCAGGCACAGACCACTTTTGACCGCAAGGTCAAGCGCCTTCACTCGGATGGGGGGGGTGAGTTCTGCAACGACAAGCTCAAAGCCTTCTGCTCCTCCGAAGGCATCCAGCAAAACTTCACCCTCCCTGACAGCCCTCAACAGAACGGCATAGCTGAGAGCCGCAACCACACCCTGGTGCAGATCACTCGGTGCCTCCTCAGCCACTCCAACGCTCCTCACTCTCTTTGGGGGTACGCTCTCTACCACGCCGCCCTCCTCTACAACCTTTACCCCCACCCGCACCTTCCCGACACCACTCCAACCACACTCTGGCTCGGGAAAACGCCCACTGCTCGCTCTCTTCGCGTTTGGGGATGCACCGCCTATGTCCTCCTCAACCCTCAGGCTCGACGGCATACCGGTGGCAAGCTCGGTCCCAAGACTCAGACGTGCATCTACCTCGGGCACAACGCCGACTCACCTGACTACCTCTTCCTCAATCCCTCCACTCAACAGTTGGTCAGGAGTCGCGACGTTGTCTTTGATGAGACCCGCCCATTCTACTCCCCTTCGGGACGGGACCCTCTCCCTGATCCACCCTCCCTCGTGTGGGCAGACTTTGATGCGCCTCCCGACCTCCCGCCTGCTCCTGCTCCCTCACCTCCTCCCTCTCCTGCCATCGCACCATCTCCCTCTGAGGTCACTGACCCGGCCTCACCGGTGTCTTCGGCAGCTGCTCCTCCCTCCCCCTCACCTTCCCCACTTCCCGCTGCGCCGCCCCCTCCGAGCGCACCTATCACCTACCATCGGCGGTCCCACCCTCCGGCCCCACCTCCTCCCCCGGCTCCCCCCACCACAGAGGAACCCGCTCTCCCACAGTCGCCCGAGCTGATCACGTACCGCCGGCGGCCCATTCCCCCGCCCAAGCCTGCTAAGTCACCCTCTCCGACCCCGCCAGCCCCACCCTCTTCCCCGGTGGCTCATGGCACTCGCTCACATCGCGCTACTCTTCCACTCGCGATGGTTCTTCGCTACACAGCGATCACACCGCCTCCTCCTGCTGGGGGGGATGTGCCCTCTACCCTTCTAGAAGACAGGCATGAGGAACTGTGTGATCTCCATGCAGTCCTTCCTCAGCTCTCACACATCTTCCCCGACATCACTGGCTCACCCTCCCTCAACTTCGCGGAGAACCCGACCATCCCTATCCCTCTCACCGTCCAAGAGGCTCTCTCAGGCCCTCATGCTGCCGAATGGCGTGCTGCCATGGACGCGGAGATTGCAGCATTCACCCGCAACCACTCCTTCGACGACGAGACTCCACCTCCAGGAGTCAACATCGTCGGGGGCAAGTGGTTGTTCCGTGTAAAACAGCTCCCAGACGAGGCACCGGTGTTCAAAGCGCGCTACGTAGCCAAGGGCTTCACCCAGCAGCAGTACCGCGACTTCTTCCTAACCTTCTCCCCCACATCCAAACCTCCCACCATTCGTACGCTCATGGATGTCGCAGCTCGAGAAGACTTTGAGATCAAATCCATGGATGCCTCATCCGCCTTCCTACAAGGACGTCTCAAGGAGACAGTGTTCATGGACAGACCAGAAGGCTTCCCAGGAGAATTCCCTCCCAACACTGTCTGGAAGCTGAATCGCCCCGTCTACGGCCTTAAGCAAGCCCCTCGCGAATGGCACAACAAGGTGAAAGAAGTCCTCCTCTCCCTGGACTTCCACCCTTCAACTGCTGACCCGACTCTCTTCATCCGCCGTCATTCTGAGCCCTTCTACATCCTAGTCTACGTGGATGATTTCATCCTCGTGGCCAAGGACTCGGCCCAGATGACCTCAGTCCAGGCAGCCCTAAGCAAGGCTCTCCAGATGAAAGACCTCGGTGACCTCAAGCACTACCTGGGGATGGAGATCACTCGTGATCGCAAGGCTCGCACCATTTCACTCTCCCAGGAGTTCTACATCGACAATGTGCTCAAGCGATTTGAGATGGAGCTATGCACACCTGTTGCCACCCCGCTGCCGCTGCAACACCTCCTCACAGCTCCAGCGGTACCCACACCAGAGGCCTGCTCTGAGCCATACCCGGAGCTTGTTGGGTCCCTCATGTACGCCATGATGTGCACCCGACCGGACCTGGCCTATCCTGTCAGTGTCCTCTCTCGCTACGTGGCCCCTGGACGCTTCACTGATCTTCACTGGAAGGCAGCCAAGCGGGTGCTGCGCTATCTTCAGGGCACCAAGTCTCACGTCCTCACACTCGGTGGGCTCTCCCCTCCTCGCCTGGAAGGTTACACCGACTCCTCCTGGGCTGATGACCAGACCGACCGACGCTCCTCTCAGGGGTACTGCTTCACCCTTGGGAGCGGAATTGTCAGTTGGCGCTCCACCAGGTCGTCTGCAGTCTCCCTCTCCTCATGTGAGGCAGAGCTCTACGCAGGCACCATGGCTGCTCAGGAGGCTCGTTGGCTCACCTTCCTCCTCCAGGAGCTTGGTTTCCCACAGTCCGCCCCCACCCTCTGGTGTGACAACCAGAGTACCATCCACATCTCTCAAGACCCTGTGTATCACACCCGCACCAAGCACATTGAACTCCGGCACTTCTTCATCCGTGACCTTGTCCAACAAGAGCAGTTGAAAGTGGAATACGTTGCATCTGACTGCAACCTGGCTGATCTGTTCACCAAGCCCCTTGGGAAAGTTCCCCACCACCGTCTCCTTGGCGCCATGGGGCTCTGTGCTCCACCCTCTCTACCCTGAGTTCGATTGACGCCTATGGGGGGGTGTTAGTGTTAGTCTTCAATCTCACAATTTGTACTTTGTATTTTCTATATCCTAGAGTAGTGTAGTTTGCACATTGTGTTTGGTTGGGTGTACACCTACATCCCAACCAAACCCAAATGTAATCTCCAACCAATCTCCAACCCACCAATTGGAGATTGCCTTGGGATTACCCCCAATCCCTAGAGATTGCCCCCGATTCCCTTCCCCATCCTTTTCCTACCCCTCTTGGATGTACTTAAAGAGCTTCAAGCTCATTACTAATGCATCACTTCTAAGCCTATTTCTGACAGATACTTCTCTGGGAATGTAAGTGCCGCGCTTGCCCTCTGGCCAGCACTCCCTCATCCTTCGCCTTGCCCCATATCGACGTCGCCACCACCTTTGCCCCTGTGGACATCTTGACACTGCATTATTTCTCTGAGGATGTATCATATCACTACTCCTCTCCACCCCTTTCCACCCCTTCTCCCACCTCTCCTTTCATCCCGGTCTAGTTCGAGGCGATAACGCAGCCGACCTACGCATTCAGCACCATCCACCGCACACTCACTCCTTTCTCCTAGACAGCACCTCCTCTCTTGCTCCCCCCCTTGCCTCCCCTCTTTCCACCTGCCTCACAGGCGAGCTATGCCTTCAGCACCATCCGCCGCGCACTCACTCCCCTCTCCCACTCCTCCGTTCCTCTTCCCCGCGTCTCCCCTCTTTCCGCCCCATTCTCCCTCCTCCAACCTCCCCACCCCCCGCCTACACCCCCTTTCCAGGTAGAGTTTGGCGTGATAGCGCAGGCAGGCTATGCCTTCAGCACCATCTACCAGTAACTCCTTTCTCCAGCTCCCCCCACCTCCCCGCTTTCCACCCCACTCCCCCCGCCTCCCCTCTCCTCCCTATCTCCCCACAGGTGGAGTTTGGCGTGATAGCGCAGGCAGGCTATGCCTTCAGCACCATCTATCGCGCCCTCACAGTCATAGTCCTCAACTTCAACTCCTTCAGCTGAACTGGGCTAACCCTCTCTCCACCCCTCTCCACCCCTCTGCACCCCTCTCCGCCCCTCTCCGCCCCTCTCCGCCGCCTTCCCACCTATCCAGGTGGAGTTCGGCGTGATAGCACAGGCGGGCTATGCCTTCAGCACCATCTACCGCGCTCTCACAGTCATAGTCCTCAACTTCACCTCCTTCAGCTGAACTGGGCTAACCCTCTCTCCACCCCTCTCCACCCCTCTCCGCCCCTCTCCACCCCTCTCCACCACCTTCCCACCCATCCAGGTGGAGTTTGGCGTGATAGCGCAGGCGGGCTATGCCTTCAGCACCATTTATCGCGCCCTCACAGTCATAGTCCTCAACTTCAACTCCTTCAGGTGCTATATTGGTTGGGGCACTTTCGCGATCTCACAAAGGTGACTCCTTCAGGTGCTCTTCTCCCTCTCCCTCTCCCTCCCTCTTGCTCTCTCCCCATCCTCCCTTCTCTCCGGCTCGTCTCTATCGCCAGGTTGAGTTTGGGGTGATCTCTCAGGCCGGCTATGCCTTTCACACTGTCTACAAGGCTCTCAGTGTCATAGTTATGCACTTCCACGCTTTCAGGTGAATCCTCAGGTGTTTTCTGGCCAGCTATGCCAGCTCTAACTTCTCAGGCTGGCTATGCCTTTCACACTGTCTACAAGGCTCTCACAGTCGTTGTCATGCATTTCCACGCGTTCAGGTGAATCTTCAGGTGTATGTTTCGGTTACTGCTTACGTACTTCCAGGTGTACGTTTCTGCCTTTTGAGTATTCTTTCATAGGCATTTGACATTTCTTTTTCAAAGTTTTAGGTGTCCAATCAAGTGACTCCTTATCCTACTCTCGATTCATGTCTCTTGTCATTATGCATTTTTACTCGTTCGGATGTTCCCTCAGGTGAATTTCTCAGGTGAATTTTTCAGGTGAATTTCTCAGGTGAATTTCTCAGGTGAATTTCTCAGGTGGATGCCACTCTGGGCTGGCATCCGTGGCTGATCCCTTCCTTAGCATCCCCACCGTGTTGTCCTAATCTCCTGTCGCATGCCCCTTCCCCCTCCCCGCACCCAGCCAGCTGGCAGCAGAGATGGAGCATGTGGATAGTCTATTCTCCTCTCTACCCAAGTCTTTCGGTTCCATTTCAACTCTTCCCTCCTCTCTTCCTCTCCCTGACTCCCCCCTTCCTACTCCCAGCGAGCTAGCAGCAGAGACAGAGCGTCTGGAGAGCCTCGTCTCCTCCCTCTCTCCCCCTGTCGTTCTTCCCATTCCGTTTGATCTCCTCCCTCCCCCTCCGCCCCCCCCAACACCCAGCGAGCTAGCAGCGGAGACAGAGCGTCTGGAGAGTCTACTCGCCTCCCTCCCTCCCCATCGTACACTCCCATCCATTCTCCCCGTCACGGCCTGCTTCTCTACCCCTCCACCCCTGACTTTCCCGCTGTCCACTCCCAGTGAGCTAGCAGCGGAGACAGAGCGTCTGGAAAGCCTACTGGCCTCCCTCTCCGACTTTGCAGCAGATGACTCCAGCAAGCTCTTCTCCCACGCCTCCCCCCATGGCCCCTCCCACGGCCCCTCCCACCCCCCTCACTCCCACTCTCACCCCTCTCACACTAAATCAACCACCAAAGATCCCTCCTCTCATTCCTCCACCTCCTCGCACTCTCTGGCTCTCGGTCATTCCCTCTCTCTCCAGCCCTCCCATACCACCTCCGCTTCCTCCTCCTCTCTCGCCCCCACTCTCTCGGGCCAGAGGCTTGCCGCCCGTCACACTTCTGAATCCTCACCTGCACTCGTATCAGCAGCAGAGACATCGGCAGACTCTGTTGTTTCAGGAGTTTTGCCAGGTGGTTCCCACGGGGAGGGTGCACCTTTGTTGGAGTTGAGTGCTATGGGGGGGAGCGCAGGTGGTGGTGGTGCTGCTGCTGAAAGAGAAGCTGATGTTATTGAATGCACTACTGCAACAGGTACGAGTCTTTAGTCCATTTAGGGAGAAAAAAAAAAAAGGAAAGCACAGGTGGTGGCATTGCTGCTGCTGCTGCTGCTGCTGCTGAAAGCGAAGCTGCTGTTATTGAATGCACCACTGCAACAAGAAACCCTTTTATCCGCAATCCCCACTTCCAGTCCCCATGCCCTAACCCAATCCTCACGGCCACTCTCCCAATCTCCACACCCAACTCCCAACACAATTCTTGCCCTTTATTGGTTGCTCGTCATACCTCTATCTTTTCTTGCTCTCCCTATTCTCTTCCCTCTACTTCCCTCCCCCCCACGCCGCATTCAGTGCAAATAAGGCCTGTGCCTCACGCGCACCTCCATAATCATCTGCTCACCCAACCTCCAAATCAATCCTTGCCCCTCTGATCCCTCTTGTTTCCTCACTTCCCTCCTCCCCAGGTCGCATTCAGCACATACAAGGTCCGTGCCTCACACTCACCTCTGTAGTCATCCGCACACCCAACCTCCGCCACACGCTCTACCCCTCCTCCCTCTCCTTCTCCCTCCCCCCCGGCGCCTCTCTCCTCGTCATGGGTCCTTCCGGCTGCGGAAAATCGTCCCTCCTGCGAGCCATTGCCTGTCAGATGATTGCAATCATCCTTCTTCTTCCTCCTTCACCCCTTCCTCCTTCTCCCCTCTTCCCCCCACGTTGCCCTACAACAGGTCGCATTCAGCGCATAGAAGGTCCATGCCTCACACTCACCTCTGTAGTCATCCGCACACCTAACCTCCGCCACACGCTCTACCCCTCCTCCCTCTCCTTCTCCCTCCCCCCCGGCGCCTCTCTCCTCGTCATGGGTCCTTCCGGCTGCGGAAAATCGTCCCTCCTGCGAGCCATTGCCGGCCTGTGGAAATTCGGCGAGGGAACCATCGAGTCTCCGCCGCCCGGGAAAACTTTTTTCCTGCCCCAGAAGCCGTATATGCCGCTAGGAACGCTCCGGGACCAGCTGGTTTTTCCTGGAAATGCTCTGGAGGGAGGTGGAGGGGGAGAGGGAGGGGGAGGGGGAGGAGGCGGAGGGCTGGAGGGAGAGGGGAGTGATGGTGAGGAGGGAGGGAGGAGTGTGAGGGGGGATTTTTCGGACAAAGAACTGTTGCATGCGCTTCAGGAGGTTTCACTTCCGGATTTGGCTGAACGGGTGGGAGGGCTGGCTGTGGAGTGTGACTACTCGGACATGCTTTCTATGGGGGAACAACAGCGGGTGGCGTTCGCTCGTCTTCTTCTGCAGCGGCCGTACATGGCGTTTTTGGACGAGGCGACGAGTGCGTTGGATGGGGCGAACGAGGCGCGGCTGTATGGGATGATGCGCGAGAGGGTGAAGTCGTTTGTCAGTGTGGGGCACAGGACGAGCTTGATGAAGTTCCACACGCTGGTTCTGGCATTTGACGAGGATGGCGAGGGGTGGGAAGTGGTCACCGCGGAGGAGTTTGCAAAAAGAAAAGGAATCTGATGGGGTTACGATTTTAATTGTATTTTGCCTTCACTCAATGTGAATGATATATATTTCCTAGCTTCGTCCAGCTCTTGTACCATTTGTCACTATCCTATTCAACTATCTGCTTATATTTGCTAAAGCTTATTCTGTAGCGGAGCTCTCAAAGGCTTGTATCTCTGCTGGGTGACTCTCCGTTTCTAGCTGTCGCTTGTCTGTCACGCAACGCGACGCAATGATGACTTTCATTTTTCCAGGCTCCCCCCAGTACAGATTGCATTCAAATCGATTCAGATATTGATGAGAGAGGTGAGAAACGGTTTAAAGCGGTGAGACTAGGTGCCACCACGAATTGCCCATCTTCGTATGCGGTTCCCACGGGTCGTGTGCGCCTTTTCCAGAAAGTTTGGTCCAATAACGCGTATGAGATCCCAATGTCTCGTGCAGCCGTATTTTCATTGGTATTTGGGCCAGCCTGTATTCATTACATGCTTGTAACGCCTACGGTTCCTAGTGTTTCTATACCCAGCTGAACTTCTTGTTTGTCGACCGCAATGGGCTTGCCGACGTTCAAGGATGTCGCCGGGAAGGTGTCGCCGCTTTTCGTCGCAGTCGTTGTCGCAACTTCCGTCGTCGCACTACACTGGGTGGCTATCCGATGGTCCAGCGCATCTTACGGCGCATCTGGCGGCGCAGGGAGCGGCGCAAGCTGGAGCGGCAGCTGGTGGCTCGGGAAGCGGGTAGAAAGCGGCGAATGCGGCGTGAGATGCGGAAGCGGGAAGCTGAGTAAGACCAGGAGGAAGAAACGGAAGGGTCGCCGGGCAGATGGAGGAGAAGAACAGGTCCACGTGGCAGGAGAGGATGACAGACAGGAACGCAATGAAGGGGATGAGGATGATGAGTGGGAAGAGGAGGAAGGAGTGGGGAAAGAAGGGGATGAGAAGCCGCAGAGAGCATTTCGTAGGGTTCTTGCGGATAACTCAAGAGCTCCGTTTCAGCACCTGAAACGAAATGAATCTGATTGTAACGAGGATGAGAGTGAGGAACCAGGTGCGTTTTCTCCACCCGTTGCTCTTTTGTAACTTTGTCTTTAAGAGTTTTACACTAATTGTTCTGTGGCTGGTTACGACCTTTCAATAGAACTTAGAATTGTTCTGTTGTGTTCCAACTGATTCGACCTTCCTTCCCCCCTCTACACCCATTTCTTGATAACCAGGAGATCTACACCCATACGCCGACGAGATCCGCCACCTTATTCAGAATCCGCCTCCACCCAACCACGTGCTGCCACCTGGCACCACACCACCACCACCTCTAAATGACCCTGGTGTCACAACCTCATCGGCTCTCCCTTCTCAAGCACCCTCCTCCTCCTCCCCGTCCTCCTCCTTCCACTGGGTATCCACGGAGCACCAGCTAGCGTCTCTCGCAGCGTTGCTGGAGAGCCAGGACGAATTTGCAGTGGACACAGAGCAGCACAGCCACCGGTCCTTCCTCGGCTTCACTGCCTTGATCCAGGTGTGTTGGGTGGGTCTGTGCTGAGTTCTTATGGCTTCCATTCCACCACACTGGGTATCCACGGAGCACCAGCTAGCGTCTCTAGCCCGCTCTTTTGGAAACCCAGGACGAATTCGCAGTGGGCACAGAGCAGCGAATTTATAGTTGATGCCATTGCCCTGCACGACCACATAGGGGATGGTCTCCGGCCTGTTCTGACTACTGTGAAACCCCCTTCCCCATGCTCTTTCTTCTCCATGCCAAATCTTTACCCAAGATGGCACTGATTTCATCATCGACGCCATAGCCGTGTACGACATAGGGAACGCCCTCCGGCCTGTCTTTGCCAACCCTGCCATCACGTCTTGCCCTCTTCCCCCTGCCCTCCCTCCTTCGCTGCTCTTCTCCCACTCCAGATCTCAACGCAAGACGGCACTGACTACATAATAGACGCCATTGCGCTGCACGACCACATAGGGAACGCGCTCTGGCCTGTTGAGTCAATCCGACCATTGTGAAACCCCATTCCGCTCCCTGTCTCCCTGCCAGATCTCAACGCGAGACGGCACTGACTTCATAATCGACGCCATTGCGCTGCACGACCGCATCGGGGATGGCCTCAACCTGGCTGGCATCATCAAAAACCCTTCCGCCCCACCTTGATTTCCACACGGGACAGCACCAACTTTATCATCGACGCCATTGCCCTGCACGACCACAGTGGGGACGCTCTGCTCCCTGTCTCTGCCACCCCTATTGTCACCAACTACCCTTTCTCCCCTTACCGTCCCTCCCTGCGTGTCTCCCCCCACTCAGATCTCCACTCCAGATGGCTCTGACTTTACCATTGACGCCATTGCCCTGCACGACCAAATAAGGGACGCCCTCCGGCCTGTTCTGACCATTGTGCAACCCCCTTCCCATGCCCTTTCTCCATGCCAGATCTCCACTCCAGATGGCTCTGACTATATCATCGACGCCATTGCCCTGCACGACCACATAGGGCACGCCCTCCGGCCTGTTCTGACCATTGTGCAACCCCCTTCCCATGCCCTTTCTCCATGCCAGATCTCCACTCCAGATGGCTCTGACTATATCATCGACGCCATTGCCCTGCACGACCACATAGGGCACGCCCTCCGGCCTGTCTTTGCCAACCCAGCCGTCACGAAGCTGTTCCACGGGGCGGACTCCGACGTGCTCTGGCTGCAACGAGACTTCCACATCTACACCGTCAACCTGTTTGACACAGCACGGGTAGGTGCAAGACAGGTGGGCATGCGTGTGCCAAATGTGCATGTAGACTGAGGACTGTAAGTACTGTTGAGGCGCCTCAAAAGTCAAATGTGCATGTAGACTGAGGACTGTAAGTATCTCATCAGACTCATCTCACAGTCTTTGCCAACCCTGCGGCCACAAAGCTGTTCCACGGGGCCGACTCCGATGTGCTCTGGCTGCAACGAGACTTCCACATCTACACTGTCAACCTGTTCGACACGGCACGGGTGAGCATGCTTTTTGAGAATTCTCAAAAACCTCTTTGACACGGCACGGGTGAGCGTGCCATATTCCTCATGCGTGTAACCTCATGTGCTCGTAGACAGAGGGGTGCTGTCTCATCTCTCATGTCACAGTCTTTGCCAACCCGGCCGTCACAAAGCTGTTACACGGGGCCGACTCCGACGTGCTCTGGCTGCAGAGGGACTTTCACATTTACACCGTGAACCTATTCGACACGGCATGGGTAAGAATGCGTGTGCCCTCATGTGCCTGTAGCCATAAAACACAGGGCTGTGTCTCATCTCTCACAGTCTTTGCCAACCCAGCCGTCACAAAGCTGTTCCATGGGGCTGACTTTGACGTGCTCTGGCTGCAATGGGACTTCCACATCTACACTGTCAACCTCTTTGAACCTCTTTGAAGCTCTTTGACACCTCAGTACAGTCAACCTCTTCATACCACACCTCTGCTTGTGTCTTTTTCTGTTCTTCATTGGGGCTACCTTTCCCTCCTTTTCTTTTTCTGTATATATATTTATACAAGTATATATATAAATATATATATATATTGTTTTGTTATCTGTTTTTCTTTCAATCTCTCCTTCTGCCTGCAGGCCTGCTCGGTTCTTAACAAGCCCTACCGCTCGCTGGCATTCCTCCTGGACCACTACTGCCACGTCAGCACCGACAAGCACCACTTTCAAATCGTTTACCCGTTTATGTTATCTGCTTTTTTCCTATCTGCAGGCCTGCTCGGTTCTTAACAAGCCCTACCGCTCGCTGGCCTTTCTCCTGGACCACTACTGCCACGTCAGCACCGACAAGCACCACTTTCAAATCGTTTACCCGTTTATGATATCTGCTTTTTTTCCTATCTGCAGGCCTGCTCGGTTCTTAACAAGCCCTACCGCTCGCTGGCATTCCTCCTGGACCGCTACTGCCACGTCAGCACCGACAAGCGCCTGCAGCTGGCCGACTGGCGCCGCCGCCCGCTGCCGCCCACGATGCTACAGTACGCGCGCACGGACTCGCACTACCTGCCGCACATCGCCGGCCGGCTGCGGTGGGAACTGGTGCAGGCAGACACAGGCGGAGAGGGCGGAGAGGGAGCATTCGCAAACGGGAAGGGAGAAGCGGTAGCAGGAGGAGCAGCAGCAGCAGCAGCAGCGGCAGGAGCAGCAGCAGGAGCAGGGGGAGGAGGAAGGAGAGGGTCTCGGGCAGGGCACAGCAGTGGATCCAAGTATGAAGAGGCAGTGAGGAGGTCAAATGCACTGTGCCTTCAGCTGTATGAGAAGCCAGGGGAGAGGAGTGCCGGTGCTGACAGGAGCAGTGCAGTTGGGGAGGCTGGGAGGGAGCGAGGTGAGCGAGAGGAGGGGGTAGCAGCACAAGGGCGTGGGGGGTTTGGAGCGGTGGGAGGGAGTGCTGAGGCGGCAGCAGCGGCGGCGGCGGCACTTTTCCGCCAGCTGTTGGGCGTTTGTGGGTATGTAGGAGGTTCTGCACTTTCAGGTGGATTTTCAGGTGATTCCGCTGGTTCAGGAGCCGGCTCTGTGGCACCTGACGCTGCTGCCACGTCAGCAGGTCAGAAAACGTCGGATCGGTCGGAGGTGTTACGGGAAGTGAGGGCTGTGCTTGATGTGGTAACCAGATGGCGCGACACTGTAGCGCGGGAAGAACACGAAAGCCTGCGGTTCCTCCTTGCTGACGTGGCAGTGGTCGCCGTGGCACTGCTACGGCCTGCCACGTGTCAGGAGCTGATTGGTTGCGTGGCCAAGGCCATGGCAGCCGCTGCTGCTCTCACACCGCCCTCGATGCGAGAAGAGGCCGGCGTTCCTCGGCCTATTCAAGGAGGGGGTAGTGGAGGGGAGAGTGGAACCGTTGAGTCAACAGAAGGAGCTGCTATGCCAGCATCAGTAGCGGAACAACAAGCTACTCCATCTCAGCCCACTTCACCTTCCCCCTCGCCTCCTCTCGTCCGTCGATCTCCCGAGCTGGTCGCGCTGATCAACGCCACGTGTCGCGACGTGAGAGGTGGCGAAGGGTCGAGGGGACTAGTGGAGAGTGCAAGTGATACTGGTACAGGCGATGGCCGGGCTGAAGATCCCGAGCTGGTTTTTGAGAATACTCAAAAACCAGGTGGTGGCAGGGCTGAAGATCCCTGTCTTAATGACAGGGCTGAAGACAGGGTGACTGCGGCAGCAGTGCAAGCCAGATTTGCAGAGATCTCGTTTCTCCTGGCCCCGGTTGTTATTCAGAAACGGGCGCCAGCAGCAGTGCAGGAGGTGTGGTTAGAAGAAGCAGTCGCTCTCACTTCTGCTGCTGCCGTCTCAGGTAACCTCTCCGCTGCTGCTGCTGCCGCTGCCGCTGCTTCTGCTGCTGGTAGCAGTGGTTCTGCAGAGGAAGGGGGAGTCTTGCCTCCTGACTCATCCCACCATCATCCCAACCACCCTCACCCCCACCACCACCACCACCACCACCACCGCCCGCACCAAAACTTTCGGCTGCCCAAGCGGTGGCAGCGGGCGCGCGACCCGAACCAGGCGCGGGCAAACTTCATAAAGAAATTCTCCTGCCAGGGGCCAGTGTATGAGAACTGTAGGATCTACAGCGGGGATGGGCGGCTTCTGTGCTTCTGTGATAGGCGGAAGTTAGAGTGGTATGTGGGACGGGGATTGGCTGAGTATGTGACTGTTGACATGCTGCCGATGCTGCAAGGGGCTGTGGAGGCGGGGTTGGGGGCTAAGGGGGAATCAGGAGTGGGATCTGCTGCTGCTGCTGATGGTAATGATACTGCTGCTACTACAGAGGCTGCTGCTAGTACTGATGATGCAGCTGCCAGTACAGGTGCTGAGAATGCCTCTGATGCAGCTGGTGCCACTGCTGGCACTGCTACTGCTGATGCTGATGCTGATGCTGCTGCTGACGGTGCTGGTGGTGACGTTTCTGCTGCTGCTACCGCTGCTGATAGCACTGCCTCTGCAGCAACAGACCCACCACCCGCCCCACTCCCCCCGAACCTCGCGTCACCTCTCTCCGTCCGGCTGCTCTTCCAACCCAAGGGGCGTCCAGAAGACGACGAGAACGAGTTCTACATCCAATCCAAGTCCAACCGCTGCGTCTCCTGCGGCGAATCCACCCACTACCTGCGCTACCGCCTCGTTCCCTCCTGCTACCGCCACGCGTTTCCTGAGCATCTGAAGTCGCACCGGAGCCATGATATTGTGTTGTTATGTGTTGATTGCCATGACGTGGCACATCGTGCGGCTGAGATTCACAAGAGGGAGGTTGCGCGGAGGTTCGGGGTTCCGCTGCTGCTGTCGCCGCTGGATCGGAGGCTCGGCGGAGGGTCGGGTGAGGGTGTGGGTGAGAGGGGGGGAGAAGGGGCGGGAGAGGGGGGGAGCGTAGTTGGGAATGGGGCTGAGAGGGAAGGTGGGGAGGAGGAGGGAGGTGGGGAGATGGAGGGTGAGGGGGGTGTGAGTGGTGAGCGGAATGGGGGAAGGGATGCAAGAGTTGAAGCTGCATTTCTTTTGAATGATGCTGCCCGGTCAGCAGTTGCGGTTTTACGGCACGGGGCATCTCTGCCCGAAAGCAGGCTCTGCGAGCTGCTTCTGCCCGTGTGGAAAGTTTTGAAGCGGGCAGCGGGCAGCCCGGTGAAAATTGAGGAGCTGGAGATGGTGGTGCAGGCAGGGAAGGGGACCAGAGTGCGAGCAGGAAAAAGGAAAGGTCTGCCCGTTGTGGGCCAAAGGGAGGCTCTACAGAAAGCCTTAGCTGGGCTGGGTGGAGGGGGAGGGGGAGAGGGAGAGGGAAAGGGAGGAGAGGGCGAGGGCGATGGGGAAAATGGTGTGAGTAAGGGAGTAAGTGAGGAAGCGAGTGAGGAAGCAAGTGAGGAAGTGAGGGAGGAAGTGAGGGAGAGTGACCAATCCGTCAGGGCTCAAGAGGGGGATACCCTGGGACTAGCAGCACCTGACCTCACCTCACTCAACCTCTCTGCAACCCCCACCATTGAGCCAGTCCCGTTGCGTGGCCACTGGGAGCACGGAACCAAGGTGGTAGCGCTGCTGCTGGCGGGCGGGGGGGAGGCGGGGATAAGGGAGTTCACGCAGCAGTGGAGGGAGGTGTTTGTGGCGGCGCTACAGCCGCGCTTCCTGCCGCCCGGCTGGGACGTGCAGCACCTGGGGCGACGGCAGTTTGGGGAGTTCTCCGTGTATAATCCACAGCGGAGGAGATATGTGAGGGAAGAAGGGAATGAAGGGGGAAGGGAGGGAGGGGAGGGAGGAGGGGAGGGAGGGGAGGGAGGGAAGGGAGGAAGGGAGGAAGGGAGGAAGAAGGGGGAGAAGGGGAGGAACTGTAAGGTACCACACTGGTACCGTATGCTGGTTGGTTTACGTGACCCTTTGATGTTCTATGGGAAGGGCGGAAGGGACAGGGCGGGAGGGATGGGAGAATATGGGAGTGTAGGGGGGGAGGGAAAAGTTTTGAGCCCACAGGTGTAGGGTGTTTTTTTTAGGGGAATGTCATTAAAAGGTAGAAGACGTACTGGATATGCTTGGGATATTCAGATGTTTTATGTGCTGGTTCTTTTACTGTAACATTTGTCGGGCAACCAATTTTGTAAGGTAAATATCAGAGAACAAAGAAATCCATTGGCATGTTCACTACCGTATTCAGCACATTCGGCACCCATAGCACATTCGACCCCTGAAGCCCTCCAATCCAACGTGCCAAAACGTGTCATCAAGCCTCCACCATCTTTCTCTTCCTTGTCCATTGTCTAGTGCAATCAAGCACAGTTGGACAGTTGCAGTCTCCCAATGCAAGGCACTCAGCAACCAACCCTTCATGGCATGCCATGCAATTTGACTAACTTAAAATCACCAACCGAGTCTTAACCCATACATGACGTCAATGCCACGGTCTCTCAACATCCGTTGCTGTGCCCTGTTCACTTCATCCGTGCAACCACCTAATTTCAGAACCTGCAACATCTTGAGCTCTGAAAAATCTTCCGGCAAATCCTCCAGATGCTCACACTGAAACAGGTCCAGCCGCTTGAGCCGGGTCAGCTGCGCGAAGTTTCCTGGTAGCAAGCGGATGGCAGTGTTTTCAACACTCAACTTGCTCAGGCAGGCGAGCCGGGTGAGGGAAGCCGGGAGACCTTCCAGGGCGGAACAATCAGAGAGGTTCAGCTCCCTTAGCCTGAATAATGCACCGATGCTGGCGGGAAGGGAGGTGAGCTTAGGTGCATGAACGTCCAAGGAGGTCAGATGCACAAGCTGAGAGACAGTTTCTGGCAGCACTCTCAGTTCTGCAGCGTGCTCTATCTGCAATCGTCGGAGCTGCTTCAGGTCTGAGCCGATGCTTCCTGGAAGCGTCTCGATGTTACCAGCCCTGGAGATTACGAGGGCTCGCAGCTGGGGGAGAGAAGCAAAGAGGAATGAGAGCTCCGTAGCATCTTCTGCTAACACCAACTCCAGATACTCTAACCGAGGCAAAGCACTGGTTTCAGACTCATCAGCTTCCCTACACTCCACGTTGACCAGATTCAATGTCAGCTTCGTGAGATTCGGCAGCAAAAGGAGTTCAGGCAGAAGAGTGGTCTGGTTGTAGCTCCCAAGGCTCAGAGACTCAAGAGAGGACGGAAGGGAAGTACGAAGGCCGTTCAACCACATGGACGGATGACATCCCGTCAGCTCCAGGCGCCTGAGCTTTAGAAGGGTATCCAGCTTCTTGGGAAATGAAACGAGCTCGCTGCACATCCCAACTGTCAGAGTTTCTAAATTGGTCAGAGCTGTCACGGATTCTGGAATCTCCCGGAGATTGAAACAGCACTGGATGTTCAGCTGCCGCAGCTGGTTCAGCTTCTCAATGCCCTCTGGAAGCTTCTCATTTGAAACCAGATCGATGTCAAGCCGGGTCAACGAAGTCAACTGGGTGAGTGAACCCGGGAGCTGCAGCGGATTGAACACTTCATTCGGAAAAATCGTCTGGAAGGCAGCCATTCCCCCCAAGCCTTCAGGAAGCCTCACTAACGGCAGCTTCACCATGCACAGCATCTGAAGAGCTCCCAGACCGCCAAAGTTCTCTGGAAGCTGGCGCAATTGGCGGCAACCAACCATGAACAGGGTCTTCAGGGAGGTGAGATAGGCAAAGGAGTCTGGGAGTTCCGTGAGAGGGAGCATGTACATGGTAAGTGTCTCCAAGGATTCGAGATGCCCGAAAGAGTCAGGGAGGCTGGCCAGAGGCAGCGTGCGCAGAATCAATTTTTTCAGAGCAGATAAGTCACCGAAGTTGTCGGGCAGGCTGGACAAGTTGGGGCATGAGGAGATTGTCAGGCTCTCTAACCGGGTCAGAGACGTGATTTCTTCGGGCAGCCGGGTTAGTCCAGAGCACCAGCTAAGCGTCAGCTCACGGAGACATGGGACGATCTCTCCAAGGTCGTCCGGAAGCTGGTCAAGGAAGGTGCAATCCGCAAGCACCAGCCGCTCCAGCCTGGTGCACGGCAATCCCGAGGGAAGAAACCAGAAGAAAGGAGAAAACTCCCCGTCGAGCTGCGTGCCGGTACGGGATAGTTGTGTTCGCTACTGCCTGAACCAGAAGGTGGAACTTTACTCCAGAAGTATTTCTGCCTCGGACACAAAGAGTCGCCATCGTCGCATGGAGCATTGTCGCACGTCTCATCATCGCATGGTGTAGCATCATCGTATGTAGCATCACCATTGAAAACAGCAGACAGCGGCGTTTTGGAGGTATGCCAAAGAATTTTAATAAGCAGATCGTCAGACAGCCTGTTGATGTGCGCACGAGAATCCATGGTTGAAAGTTCAGCTCAAATTGACACGCATTTCTGCGGGAACTTGAAGCTCAGAAACAACTACTACTGATGTATAAACAGGTGGCTGGGGTGACTGATTTTCCTGAAAATGTCATTTCACCCAGCCAAGGAGAACGTAAATCCGTCAGTCAGCAATCGGATAAGGTTGACGTGCACCTCCAGCTGGGATCATGACGCGCTACGGTGAAGTATCCGTTGGTGCGCTTCAGAAAGGGCGGGAAGCGTGTTTCCTGAAGATTCTCCCCTAACAACTGCTTCAGTCTCATCTGCACCAATTCAAGATGCAATGTTCAGGTCTAAATAAACGGAGAAGTAAACAATCTAAAACAAAAGAAGCTAAAAGTGGCATGCCCCACATATCTCAAAAAACTTCTGCTGACAGATAACTAAACCCTCACCCAGTAATATGGCTCCTTGTTTATAGCATACTGAAATCTGGTCAAAACATGTTTTTTGGGCAACATATCTATCAACACAACGTGCATGCCACTTAGTCGAGGAGGAACGTCAAGCCACCAACATTGCCAACCATTCATGGTCATGCGTACCACAGTGCAGTCACAGAGACAGGATCCTGGCACTCAATTCTCTTAGACCATGAATCCAAGAGATCAGCCCACCCTCCCCCCCATCAGACGGGTGTTGAGGGTGAGAGCCAATATAACGCAATCCCAATGATCAGAACGTGGGCTTGCGAGCGAGTGAAATGGGTCAGAGAAACATGATTTTGGCACTCAACTCCTTGGCCAGAGCCAGTTTGAGGCTATTCAAATGATCCCACAGCGCTGCCTGCCCCATGCCCCCTTGGCTGTCCGTGTCAGGCAAGGCACGGGCGGTGACGATGGGAGCATTCTTAAAGCCAGCATGCTGTTGCGAGAGTGAGTCCGGGGAGACTAGTTGCAAGCAGCTGATGAGCGCAGAGATGTGTGATTCTTTGAACGGTAGAGACCGATTCTGGAGCACACGAGCCTGCACGTGGAATGGGATGGGAACGGAAGGGGACACGGTAGCAGGACAGATGATCAGGCGGTCAGAAGGACCTGAGAAAGACGGAGATGATTTGTGAGTTATCTGAGGTTAGTTGGATAGGGAAATGAATAGAGAGGCAAACATGTATTGACTCGAAGCAAGAGTCCCTGGTAAAGCTGATTGGATAAGCAGATGCAATCGCACTGTAGCCGAGGCAGTGGCAGAGCTCCTGGGACAATAAGCCGTTTTACCTTGCCTCATTAGCACCGCAACTGACACTAGGCACAATTGCTGACACTGGCTACAGTAGCTGACAGTAGCTTACCATGAGATGAGAGAGGGCAAGGAAGACGCGGGGGTAGTGCGATGAGGTGTGGAGCAAGGCCTGAGAGTGATGGAGAGCCAACAAGAGAAGAGGATACAAGGAATTGAACAACAAGTGAGGAGTCTATTTTTGAGGCGCCTCAACAATAGAGAGAGGAAGACGCGGGGGTGGTGCGATGAGGAGTGGAGCATGTAATGGAGAGCCAACAAGAGAAGAGGACACAAGGGATTGAACAACAAGTGAGGAGTCTATTTTTGAGGCGCCTCAACAATAGAGAGAGGAAGACGCGGGGGTGGTGCGATAAGGAGTGGAGCATGGCTTGAGAGTAATGGAGAGCCAACAAGAGAAGAGGACACAAGGGATTGAACAACAAGTGAGACGAACTGGAGGATCTACAGCCATAAGTTCCTTATGTGATTGGTCATTGCTGCAACGGGTTCCGCCCAACAAACGTCAGACGCAGCTTGCGTGTTTGCACACTGCACCCTACCCGAACTCTCACACATGGTGTAAGACTGTGCCATATTTTCTCACCGTGCATTGTTTCCCCACTGCACCACGTTAAATTCTCAGGTTCGAAGCATCCAATTCAAATTTGAGGACTGACCTGCACTAGCCGGTCTGCCAGGTGGCTTCTTTGGATTGGCTCAGATGTAGCAGCGGCGGCGGCGGCAGGAAAGAAGGGCGACACTGGGCTGTTTGATCCGCCTGTGAGCTCTTTCACCAGCTCCCAGACACTGTGAGGAAGAGAGAGAACAGGTGGGTGATTGCCCATAAGTATGACAAGGAGGGAGGGGGGAACGGCAGGAAAGAAGGGCGACACTGGGCTGTTTGATCCGCCTGTGAGCTCTTTCACCAGCTCCCATACACTGCAAGAACGGGAGGGGAAACGTGGGTGTTCGCCCGTGTGAAAGTTAGTGGAAAGTGGGGAGGAACGGTAAGATTGTTGGATCCGCCTGTGAGCTCTTTGACCAGCTCCCATACACTGCGCGGAAGGGAGGGAACAGGTGGGTGATTGCCCATAGGTATGACAAGGAGGGGCGGGGGGGGGGGGGGGTTGGGGGGGGGGGGGAACGGGAGTAAAGATGGGCTGTTTGATCCGCCTGTGAGCTCTTTCACCAGCTCCCATACGCTGTGAGGAAGAGAGAGAACAGGTGGGTGATTGCCCATAAGTATGACAAGGAGGGAGGGGGGAACGGCAGGAAAGAAGGGCGACACTGGGCTGTTTGATCCGCCTGTGAGCTCTTTCACCAGCTCCCATACACTGCAAGAACGGGAGGGGAAGGGTGGATGCTTCGCTATGTGTAAGTTAGTGGAAAGTGGGGAGGAACAGTAGGGCTGTTTGATCCGCCTGTGAGCTCTTTCACCAGCTCCCATACACTGCAAGAACGGGAGGGGAAGGGTGGATGCTTCGCTATGTGTAAGTTAGTGGAAAGTGGGGAGGAACAGTAGGGCTGTTTGATCCGCCTGTGAGCTCTTTCACCAGCTCCCATACACTGAAAAGAGAGTGGGACGGTGGGTGATTGCAAATGGGTACGGTCAAGGGTGGGCGGAGGAGAGGGGGGGAAGGAGAAGAACGATATGCTGTTACCTGTGAGCTCTTGGGCCAGCTCCCATACCCTGGGGGGAAGGGGAGGGAGATGTTGACGCAAGAAAAGATGCTGGCATACACAGATTCTGAAGCTGGTGAGAACACACCATTGGCACATGACTATATGCCACGACAGGCCATAAAATGCAGTGCATTACAAGACAATATCACAAGTGGCACACACATGAGCGCTCTGGCAGGTAGCACTCACAAGAGCAGATATTCTAGGGCTGGGTGGCTCTGTCCCTTCAGCCCACTGTTGCTCCTCAGAGCATTCAGCGTCGCTGCTGCTCTTGTGTGTGACGAAAAGCACTCGCATTAACCAGGAGACCACTCACGAGAGCACATATTCAAGGGCCCAGTGACTCTGTCCCGTCGACCCACTGCTGTTCCTTAGAGCATCCAGCTGCTGCTGCTGCTGCTGCTGCTCCTGTTGATGCTCCTGCTGCTGCTCCCTGAGAGGCACTGCCTGAACCAGGTGCGCCCTGCACCAGATGCAGCCTCCCCCTGACGGCCGGCACCAGCAGCTCGTCTGCGAGGAAAAGGACAAGGGAGTCCATAGGCGCTGCTGCTGGGGCGCCGGCCGCCGCCATCCAATAGACGCTCGCCACGTGGCGCGATGTGGCGAGGCTTCTAGAGTCCCAACATGCCATGGCGGCAGACTGGGGAGTAGGGGGAGCAGAGAGGGAAATAGAGGGTGGGGGGGGGGGGAGAAGAACGGGGGAGGAGGAGGAGGTTCACAGGGGTCGAAAAGGTGCCGGGAGTCGCTTCATATGAAGGACGTGCTAACAAAGAACGATGTGGCTTGTGAATCGACTCAAAAGTCGCATTGATAGGGCTTGCAGAAAAGAACGCCGGGATGCAATGGTGGTAGATCGGGGGGGAGGGGATGAAGGTGGGAAGAAGGGAAAGGAGGAAGTGGGGTTCAGGGGTATGGAAGAGTTGGATATATAAAGGGATGATGAGACAGAGAAATGTGCTGGTTGGGCATGCTGAAAGAGCCCCTCGCAGCATGCCAAGACAGCACACAGGGGGGCGTTTGGGGCGCCTCAGGTTGGGAGGTGACTTTTGAGTCGACTCAAAAGTCATGCTGAAAGAGCCCCTCGCAGCATGCCAAGACAGCACACAGGGGACGTCTGGGGCGTCTCAGGTTGGGCTGGTTGAAAAGAGCCTTTGGCAACATGCCATGGCGAGAATTTGCTTACCCGGGACAGGAAAGCAGCAGCAGAGGAGTAGCAAGCAGGGGCGTATGAGTCGAGGAGAAAGAGGGTCTTAACGACACAGGTGTGTATGAAGGGCTACAAGCACTTACCCGGGACAAGAAAGCAGCAGCAGAGGAGTAGCAGGCAGGGGCGTATGAGTCGAGGAGAAAGAGGGTTTTGGCGATGGCGGTGTGTGTGGTGGCTGATACTGGCTGGGCCAGCAGCACCTGCTCTATAAAGGGTTCACCCGGTGGGCATGGGGAGAGGTAGGGGAGGGCGAGCTGGGGAGAGAGAGTGACAGGGGCAAGAGAGAGCGGAGAGGTGGGCGGATGATTTTGAGGATGCTGGAAAAAAGTCAGGCTGGGACGAGCTGGGCCAGCAGCGCTCGCTCTATAAAGGGTTCTCCCAGTGGGCATGGGGAGAGGTACGGAAGGCAAAGCTGGGGAGAGCGGGGAGGGGGAAAGATGGAAGCAGGAGTGGTGAGAGGAGAAGAGTGGGAACAGAAAGCATAGAGAAGAGGGGGATCAGATCATCATGAAAACACATAGCCTTGCATGGAACCATCTTATATCCACGTTCATTTGTGCGCAGGACACCCTTCGGTACGCATGGAGGAGAATGATGGAGGATCAATGACCAAGTGGCGGTCTCTGATAGCAGCTCTCACCTGCCACATGGCAGCATCTGATAGGAGGTCTCACCTGCCACGTGGCAGCATCTGATAGGAGGTCTCACCTGCCACGTGGCAGCATCTGATAGGAGGTCCATGGCATAGTTCACCCGGCAGAGATCCAGAACAGACAGGCCGCTGATGTCAGCACCGTCTGCTGCGGGCGGCTCATGGGCGGCAGAGGCAGCATTTTGTGCGGCAGCTGCAGCGGCTTGTTTGGCTGGTAGTGCAGAGAGGGGCGGCGAATGCAGGGATAGAAGTTCAATGACTTGCACCAGGAACCTGAAGGGGAAGAAGGGGATTTTGAGAGGGTTGGGGCCGGGGGGGAAGAAGGGATGTTGAGAGGGTTGGGGGGGGAGGGGGGGGGGGGTTTGAAGGGGATGAAGGGGGGGGGGGGTGAAGGGGGAGGGTCGATTTTTGCCACTAGGAAGTGACGGAGAAGAGGGTTGAGAGGGCGGAGGGATGGGAAGGAGGGGGGAGAGGGAGGCCGGGAGAAAGTAAGACATAACTGGGAGATAATAGAAAAAGCGGAGATGAATCAGGAGAGCAGGAGGGATGAATTAGGAGGGAGGGAGCAGGGTTATCTGATGGAGCAGGAGAGCAGAGGGGGACGGGGGGGAAGGATAGGGGAGAATGGGAAGGGAAGGCAGAGGGAGGAGGATTTAGTTGAAAAATCTTAAGAGACTCTCTGCAAGAGGAAAGCAGAGGGAGGAGGGCGCAGCGCACCAGGAGGGGAGGAGTCGAGATGCTATGGACACTACCACCTGCCATGTGCATGCCGTGCCATGCCGTGCCGTGCCATGCCATGCCATGCCATGTCACATCATGCCATGTCACATCATGCCATGTCACATCATGTCATGTCATAAAATAACATGTCATGTCATGTCATGTCATTCCATCCCCCCATCCCATATCATGCCATGCCATGCCACACCATGGCATCCCATCCCATCCCATCCCATCCCATCCCATCCCATCCCATCCCATCCCATCCCATCCCATCCCATCCCATCCCATCCCATCCCATCCCATCCCATCCCATCCCATCCCATTCCATCCCATCCCATCCCATCCCATCCCATCCCATCCCATCCCATCCCATCCCATCCCATCCCATCCCATCCCATCCCATCCCATCCCATCCCATTCCATCCCATCCCATCCCATCCCATCCCATCACATCCCGTCCCGTCCTGCCCCATGTCATGCCATGCCATGCCATACCGTGGCCCCAGTCAATGGCAGAAAAGAGATAGCAGTGAACGAAGGAGAAACAGGGAAGGCGAGAATCAGCTGGGATGAGAACAAGACCGAAGGACAGAGGGATGAGAAACCTTCTGACAACCTTTACTTCAGAGAATTGTCAGAAACTAGCTGAAGGTCTTCATAAAGAAAGCTAAGGCTGCTTCAAGCAAAGGCAACAACAGGCGATACAAACGCAACCATGGACTCTTGGGAAGGTGTAGCACACATGCTGCTGACTTGGCAGGTGGTTAAAAAATATCCAAGTACTTAACACCGGAAAGAAATATATGTTCGCATTCTTTTCTTCCCCCACCTCTGTTTCACGGCACAAGGACGCCAGCATGAGCCGATCCAACGACGGCTGGACGAGGTCCGAGGCATCCAACGGCTGAGATGCACCCGCGCTCTTCCCACAGCTGTCCGCTGCTTCCCGCCAGCACTGCAGTGCGAGCGATTCCTGTGCTGCTGCCATCTGTTGGCAACATGAGAGGAGTGGGGCAAAGAATGGCAGGGAATAAATGAATGATTTGCTGTTTGCTGTCTGCTGCTTGCTCAACCCAACCCAACCAAACTCAACCCAGCCCAACCCAACGCAACCCAGCCCTTCAACACCACTACTCACTGCCTGTGGGTTCTGATGCAGCAGCCGCGCACCCAGCAGCTCCAGCCAATGGGAGCGCGCCACGTCATCAACGGCCCGAGAGCTCCCCAGGAGCAGATCCAGCAGCGCGAGCAGCGCTCTTTCGGTGGCCGGCGCATCTGCTGCCGCCCAGAAGGGGCTCGCCTTGAGGCGAGCCAGCCGGTTCCTCCAGTGGTCGCGATGCTGCAAGTCAGAGAGGTTGGGGTTTGGGATTAAACACGTTAAAATGAGATTGGGTGTGGGTCAGGGTTTAAAGGAGCAGGTCCAGCAGGGAGAGCAGCGCTCTCTCGGTGGCCGGCGCATCTGCCGCCGCCCAGAAGGGGATCACCTTGAGGCGAGCAAGACGGCTTCTCCAGTGGTCGCGACGCTGGAAGTGGGTTTGGGTTGGGAGGGGTGAGAGGGGTGAGAGAGCAATGGGCTCCCCAAAAGAGGATCCAGCAGGGAGAGCAGCGCTCTCTCAGTGGCCGGCGCATCTGCCGCCGCTTAGAACGGACTCGCCTTGAGTCGAGCAAGACGGTTCCTCCAATGGTCGCGATGCTGCGAGGGGGAGGGATGAGCAAGGTTTGCGGTTTAGTATTGGGAAGAGGATAGGGATTTAAAGTGCAGAGCGGCGCTCTCTCGGTGGCTGACGTAACGGCTGCCGCCCAGAAGGGGCTGGCTTTGAGGCGAGCCAGTATGCTCCTCCAATAGTCACGATGCTGGAAGGAGGGAGAGGGGTTTCGGGTTTATTTTATTGAGACTGGGTCAGGGTTTATGGGAGCAGCGAAAGCAGGGCTTTCCGGTGGCCGGTGCATCTGCCGCCGCCCAGAAGGGGCTGGCCTTGCGAGCAAGACGGTTTCATCATTGGTCGCAATGCTGCGAGTCAGAGAGGTTTCACCATTGGCCCTCACACACAGCTGCGAGCTGCCAGCTACTAGCTAGATGGACACTTGACCAACACTCATGCGCCCTGAATGAATGAGCCCACAACACCTTTGAGACTCCATTTAACTTGGACTCCGTTCGGAATCTCAAAAGTGACTCCAAGCCGACTCCATTCCCTTCCCTCATCTCTCACCCACCCACCACGCCATGCTGCTGGCTCAGTTGTCAAATCAGAGCCCAGCTCACTCACTCACCCTGTGGTACGCCGACACCTCAGCAGCGTCGCGCGCCGTCATTGGCTCTAGGGGCATGGGCATCTCGGCCAGCAGCACTGCCACGGCCTCTACCAGCCCATTCTCCGCCTCCCTTTGAACGACCTGGTCCTCACGATAAGATGAGTGGAAACGTAGCAGAGCCGTCTGGGAAAAGAGAAGGCAGAGTAGGGAGCGGGATGGGGTGGGTGCGGAAGGGGTGGATGGACGGGCATCTCGACCAGCAGCACCGCCACGGCTTCTACCAGCCCATTCTCCGCCTCCCTCTGAATGACCTGGTCCTCTCGGTATGACGAGTGCAACCGAAGTAGAGCCGTCTGGGGGAGCAGGGGAAGGGGAACAAGGGGCAGGGGGAGGGAGTGGGGATGGGTTGAATGGGCATGTCCGCCAGCAGCACTACCACTGCTTCGACCAGCCCGTTCTCCGCCTCCCTTTGAATGACCTGGCCCTCACGGTATGATGAGTGGAAACGCAGTAGAGCCGTCTGGGATGGGAGAGGGAAAGGAGCGGGAAAGGAGTGGGAAAGGAGCGGGAAAGGAGAGGGAAAGGAGAGGGAAAGGAGCGGGAAAGGAGTGGGAAAGGAGTGGGAAAGGAGCGGGAAAGAAGAGGGAAAGACAAAGGGGTGGATTGGCATTTCGGCCAGCAGCACTGCCACGGCTTCTACCAGCCCGTTCTCCGCCTCCCTTTGAACCACTTGGTCGTCACGGAACAACGAGTGCAGGCGGAGCAGAGCCGTCTGGGGGGGCGGATGGGGAGGGGAGGTGGGAGGCAAGCAAGGAGAAGTCGGATTTTCGTTACTAAAAAGGAGGGGAAGTGACAATTGCTGGACAAGTATCAGTACGAGTATGTTTGGCTGTTTGAACAGGAGTTGTTCATCATTTCCCGAATTTCCTCCAATCTTACAGGGAGTTGTTTGTTTAGCTGTAACATTACTGCCTTCCCTGACAACCGGAACAAAAAATCAAGTGTGGCAAAAAAATAAGGGGGGGGGGGGGGGGAGGGGGGGAAGGAAAGGCAACATACTGCTGTGTCTCTCCAGCCAATCGCAGCGCAGGAAGCCACAGCTGGCCAATAGGGGTTAAGATCCTCTGGTGGTACGGCCTGGTGGGAGATGGGAGAGGTGATGAGAGGAGATGAGAGGAGAGGAGGGGAGAGATGAGAGGAGATGAGAGGAGATGAGAGGAGATGAGAGGAGATGAGAGGAGATGAGAGGAGATGAGAGGAGATGAGAGGAGATGAGAGGAGATGAGAGGAGATGAGAGGAGATGAGAGGAGATGAGAGGAGATGAGAGGAGATGAGAGGAGGTGAGAGGAGAGGAGAGGAGAGGAGAGGAGAGGAGAGGAGAGGAGAGGGGAGGAGAGGAGAAGACAGGAGGGGGAAAGGAGAAGGGAGAGTAAGGGACGAAGAGGAGCGAGAGGGGGGAAACGGAAAGCATGTTATGGGACTGATAATGAGCAATGAAAACGCGACAACGGTGGGAAGATGGCACAAAGCGGATGGGTTGAGGATAGTCAAGGGGAGAGAAGGGGGTGGGAAAAGGACACGTGTAAAATAACCTCCTGTGCAAAGAAACCGTTCCACTGGAGTGGAAAAAGAAACCGCCGCTAACCTCTGATTGGCTCATTTGATCCCGCAAGGTTCGGAGGCGTGCTGACGTGGATGTGTTGCAAGGAGGGAGCGATGCGTTGTATTGCTGTTGAAAGGCGGGAGAGGAGGGGTTGGTCAGGAGGAAGCAAGGGGTGGGGAAGCAAGAAACAGGGGCGGAAATGGTGGGATAAGAGTGGACCGCAAACAGATTTGCCAAGAGTAGAAGCAAGAGAAGATAGCTGGCTGAGCTGGGGGTATGGGAGGTGTGTGTGGCCTGGAGGTTGGTTGGGGGACGTGGAGAGAAGGAATGGGGTGCGGAGACTGGAGGTGACTAGAACATAGCAACACGTAGGGATGACAAGAGAATAACAATGTGCCAGGAAAAGAAGGAAGAAAAAGGTCCACTCACAGCGAGTTACGAAGCGCCTAGATAATTGTCTGATTTCACGCTGGAGGAAACAGGAATGAAGCGGAGAGGTTGAACTTACAGCGAGCCAGGAAATGAAGGGTTGACAGGTGGGGGTAGAAGAGGCAGCAGAGGGGGGAGGCAGGAGGAGGGGGTAGGAGGAGGGCGGAGAGGCACGGAAGCTGTTACTGCCTCCCCTGCCACCTGCCTCCATCCCTCTGATACCTCCTCCTCCTCCTCCTCTTGCTCCCCTGAATGCACTGTCCACGTCAGCACCACCACCCATGCGAGTGTCCATGTCAGCGTCCACGTCAGCAGCGCCAGGTGTGTGGTCGGGGAGGAAGCAGAGGCGGAGGAGGTCCCAGACGGCTGCCAGCTCACCCTGGCTGATGCCACGTGGCGCAGACTGGTTGGTTGGTTGGTCGGCAGGGGGATAACGGAGGAGGAGGGCAATAAGGAATGGCAGAGTGGCAAAAGAAATTGAAGCAGTTGCAGCAAAAAAGAAAACGCCCCGTGCACAACTTTTGAGACGTCTCAAAAGGCGCCCAGATGTGCGTACATGATACACCCGCCTCCTCCTGCTGTTGAGTTGTTTGCTAGCAAAGCTCCGAAGGGAGAGCGACTTATTACGATTCTCAACACACTCTAACAACCCTCCCCACCTGCAAACACTCACCTCGTCCTCAAACTCCTCCTCCTCGGCGTCTATCCCACCCAGCAAACGGGTCAGCGGCGGAGATCCCAAGGGAGTAATTAGCATTCTATAAAATCTCTCAAAACAACCTCCCTCCACCACCCACCTACCCACCTCGTCTTCCCATTCCTCCTCAGCGTCTATCGCAGCAAACGGGTCAGCGGCGGAGATCCCAAGGGAGTGGGGGGAGGCGCGAGCAGCTGCCAGCGTGGACTGGGCGGATGGCGGAGAGAGGAGCCTGCTGACGTGGCGAGACCACCTGCTGACGTGTCTCCACCTGGAGGAGTTATGGCAGATTGAGAACAGGAACGCGCGGAGACCAACAACAGTGTGTTTCTGAGTGTCACCCATAAGAACCTCACCACCACATGTCACTTGAAACCCCCTCCCAGCTTTTCCCTCAGTTTGTCTCCCCACCTCTCTCCCCACTTCATTCCCCCTCTCCCCCCCCTCTTCCCCCCTCATTCCCCCTTCTCTCCCCCTCTCTCTCCCCCCTCCTTCTCTCCCCCCCTCTCTCTCCCCCACATACCCCCTTCTCCCCCCCCCTCATTCCCCCATCTCGCACCACTTCGCTCCCCTCTCCACCTCTACCATCGCTGGTCGTCTTCCGCTTCCTCCCCATCCCCGTCGCCATACGCGATACAAAACGTCTCAACGCACGACATGACGTACCTCTCGCGTCGCTCGTCAATCTCCGCCTCGTCCGCTTCCTCCGCCATTTCCGCCGCAATCGCCGTTTGCAGTCGCCCGTACAGCGACGACGCCCCCGCTGCGATCTGCCGGTGAAATGATGACGTGTCAGCCCACGTCACGCTGACGACGGCCGACCCGTGTCCCGCCACGTCATCTTGTCGACCGTCCGACCTTCCCGGAAACGCGCCGTCATTCGCGCCATCAGATGCGGCGACGGATGCGGCAACGGATGCGGCCGGAGAGCAAATAAGAAGCTCGTTGCCCAATCCCCACTCGATCTCGACTGGGAGAGAGGCGGGAAAGGTGGATGGAGCCTCGGTTTGGAGGAATCCAGAGCGGTGCTGCCCTAAGGGCCCCACCATTGGCGCGTGTCGCCTTTTACGCCAACGAAGTCCGTAACCGTCTTTGCTTCTAGAAGAGACAAGGCTCGTTATAAAGAGGATCAAGTGAGGAGAATACGGAACTCTCGCTGTGCCGCAATTGAATTGGATGGATGCAGTCAACAGGAGTTCGAGGGAATGACAAGGAGCGAAGATTGTTCTCAACATAAGAGCACCGTTTAAAAAATTAGCTAACGGCTCTCTCCACAAAATATTTCTATATGCTCTTTCAATACATTACCTATTTGGCTACCATATGAATTTGCAATTATTAGCTTAGAAATTACTCGTCTTTGAACCAAGTTGGAGCAGAACAAGCTATATATAGATGCTGGCCGCCTTCGGAATTCACTGCACAATGGGAACTTAGCTATTTTAGATATCGATCCCCTTGTCACAATCTGTCAAACAATATGTTTAATATATACCCTGCGTGCTGTAGGTACTGTAGTTATTATTATTAAGAGTTGGTGGTGCACCTTCTTTGTTGCTTTGCTATATACCTACGTGCCTACCTTGCCTGCTGCCCGCGCGCGCCTCGGCTGCATGCGCGCGTGCATTTTTTTTTTAGCGCGCCCCGCTGCCTTAGCCGCCCGCGTGCTCGCTGCTGTCACGCGCAGCTCGGCGCCGCGCGCAGCCCGCCGCCACGCGCGACCCGCCGCCGCGTGCAGCCAGTAGCCACGCGCAGCCCGCAGCCGCGCGCAGCCCGTCGCCGCGCGCAGCCCGCAGCCGCGCGCAGCCCGTCGCCGCGCACAGCCAGCTGCCACGCACAGCCCGCAGCCGCGCGCAGCCCGCTGCCGCGCGCAGCCCGCTGCCGCGCGCAGCCCGCAGCAGCGCGTGCCCTGCCCTGCCTGTGCGCCACTGCCTCGACCTGAGCGCTTAGCCGCCCGTGAGTCGTGCGCTTGCCTGCCTTACGCGCGGCCTGTCACAGAACTGCGTGCTTCCTTACCTGCTACAGTTACCTGCTGCCTGAGCCTGCTGCCTGAACCTGCAGTCTTTGCCTGCTGCCTGAGCCTGCTGCCTGAGCCTGCTGCCTGAGCCTGCTGCCTGAGCCTGCTACCTGAGCCTGCTGCCTGAGCCTGCTGCCTGAGCCTGCTACTTTTGCCTGCGCTACAACCATGGCGACCCTTACTGTTCTCGCCTTTGAGCCTGACGGCCGCCCCATCGAGTTTGACACCTGGCTTAGTGACCTGCGCCTTTACCTTATGACTGACGTCGCAGACGGAGTGTCACTGCTAGCCTATGTGACCGGCACTGTCCCTACTCCTGCTGAGACTGCTCCTGCCCCTGAACGAGCACAGTGGGAGCTCCGTGATGCAGTCGCGCGCCTTGTTATTCGCAATCACCTACCGATCTCTGAGCGCGCGCATTTCAACCAGCTTAAGACTGCTAAGACGCTGTATGATGCTGTCGTTGCCCGCTATTCCGCCCCGACCACAGCCACCGTTGGTAGTCTCATCCTGCCTTACCTGTTCCCAGACTTAGCCTCGTTTCACACTGCTGCCGACCTTATCACTCACCTCCGCGCTAGTGACGCCCGCTTTCGAGCCGCTCTTACCAACGAGTTCCTCGCCACGAACACCCCCCCGCTGTACTTCACCCTCTACATCCTCGTCACCCGCCTCCCTGACACTCTTCGCTCTGTCAGGGATTACTTCCTTGCCAAGGATCCTCCAACTATCACTCTGGACGACTTCGAGCAGCAGCTGGTCGCAGCAGAGAAGAACATCCTCGCTGTCGGTGCTGCTCGTGGCACTCCCCGCACTCCCCTCTTTGAGGGGTGCTCCCCCTCCCCTCTTGACCCCTCCTACGCCTCTGCTGCTACTGCTGTCGACTTCCTCGGTGCGGAGAAGGTCGCAGCGGCTTCCGCTCCTGGTGGGAAGCGTGGTGGTGGCAGGGGCGGCAAGGGTGGCAGGGGTGGCGGAGGTGGCGGTGGAGGGAGCGGTGGTGGAGGCGGCGGGGGTGGTGGAGGTGGTGGGGGTGGCCGTGGGGGTGGAGGCGGTGGGTGGGGTGGCGGCAGGACCGGGGGCGGTGGAGGCGGCGGCGGCGGTGGTGGGGGAGGAGGCAGCGGCAGTGGCGGTGGAGGTGGGAGTGGGGGTGGATCTGGCCAGAAGGGTGGCCAGCAGCAGCAGCAGCAGCAACAGCCACAGCAGCAGCAGCAGCTTCCTCCCCTCACCTCCCAGCAGCTCAATGACTGGTATGCTGGGCGTGGGGCGTCTCGGGGTTCTGACCGCTGCCCCTATGTCATTCGTACTGGCCCCCGCAAGGGTCGCCCCTGCAACGGTTTTCACACTGAGTATCGTTGTTTTGCTAGGCTTAGTGACGCCTGGCGTACTAAGTATCCTGATGCTACTGAGTTCCCCAACTGGGCAGAGCTGCTTAGGCGTGATGTGCCTATCTTTGATCTGGACTATGATGTTATTCTTGCTGCCATGTATGCATTGACTGTTAGTGCTGAGGGTGACTGCTACTTGTGTGTGCCGCCTGACCCCGGTATAAGGACTGCAGCCCTAGGTGCTAGTGAGTCTGCTCCCCTTGGTACTGCGTCGGCTCAGGCCTTGCACACGTTTACACTTGACTCTGGTGCTTCCCGCTGTTTCTTTCGCGATAGCACCACCGTCACTCCGCTCCCTGCACCTGTCCCTGTCTCCCTGGCTGACCCCTCTGGGGGCCCAGTGCTTGCACGCGGCACGACTGTGCTCCCGTGCCCGGCGGTCCCGTCTGGTGAGCTGTCAGGTCTCCTCGTTCCCTCGTTCTCTACAAACCTGGTGAGCAACGCCGTCCTCCAGGATCACTGGGTTGACACCTGGACTCCTGGAGGGCAGCGTGTGGCGATCTGCACGTGCTCCAAGACTGGCCGCCACCTGGCCACGTTCACTCGTGAGCCGGGGTCCAGTCTGTACACCCTCACCACTGTTTCACGCTCCGCTCCTTTGTCTCCGCAGCTGTACGCGTCTGCTCAGGTAGCTACCCAGTGTGAGTGCCGCCGCCTGTCGCACGACACGCTCCTGTGGCACCACCGCCTTGGTCACCCCTCCCTGCCTCGCCTTCGTAGCATGCACTCTCGCTCTCTGGTCTCTGGGCTTCCCAGGTCTCTGCCTGCCCTCCCTCCCTCGCCTGCGCCGCCCTGCATTTACTGCGTCGAGGGGCGGCAGCGCGCCGCTCCTCACTCCTCCTCGTTTCCTCCCACAGAGGCTCCCCTGCAGACGCTTCACCTGGACGTGTGGGGCCCAGCCCGCGTCCAGGGACAGGGCCGTGAGCGGTACTTTCTGCTGGTTGTCGACGACTTCACGCGTTACACCACGGTCTTCCCCTTGCGCAGCAAGGGAGACGTCCCTGCTGTTTTGATCCCCTGGATCCGCGCTGTGCGTCTCCAGCTCCGCGAGCGGTTCGAGCGGGACTTTCCTGTCCTGCGTCTTCACTCTGACAGAGGTGGTGAGTTCTCCTCTGACCTCTTGGCAGCCTTCTGTGCGGAGCACGGCATCACCCAGTCGTTCACGCTTCCGGCCTCTCCGCAGCAGAATGGGGTTGCTGAGCGCCGCATTGGCTTAGTCATGGAGGTCGCTCGTACCTCCATGATCCATGCGGCGGCTCCCCATTTTCTGTGGCCGTTCGCGGTCCGGTACGCCGCGCATCAGCTCAACCTCTGGCCCCGTGTCTCCTTGCCGGAGACCTCGCCCACACTGCTGTGGACGGGGGAGGTTGGCGATGCGTCGCGTTTCCGGGTCTGGGGTGCTCGTGCCTTTGTCCGCGATCTCACCGCGGACAAGCTCTCTGCTCGCGCCATTCCCTGCGTCTTCCTTGGTTTTCCTCCTGACGCGCCTGGCTGGCAGTTTTACGACCCCACCTCGCGCCGTGTCTTTGCGTCTCAGGACGTCACCTTTGACGAGTCTGTTCCCTTCTACCGTCTCTTTCCCTACCGCACTGTCTCTCGCCCCCCCCCGCCGCTCTTTCTCGCTCCAGGTCCTCCCCAGGTAGACCCCCTCCCCGCGCCAGGTCCTGCTCCTTCAGGTGTTTCTCAGGTAGACCCTCCGGTACCTGCGCCTGTTGAGGTCACTGGTGACTCAGGTCCTGCTGGAGGTGGTCCTGCTCGGGGTGCTGTCTCTGGGGGTGCTGAGCCTGGGGGTGCGGAGCCTGAGCGAGAGGCGCCTGGAGGTGCTGGCTCTGGGGGTGCTGCTGCTGGTGACACTGAGGCTGGAGACCCTGGGACTGGGGGTGCTGGTTCTGGGGGTGCTACTGCTGGAGACACAGGGGCTGGAGACCCTGGGACTGGAGGTGACGACTCTGGGACTGGAGCTTCTGGAGCTGCTGGAGGTTCTGGAGCTGCTGGAGGTACTGGAGCTGCTGGGGGTACTGGAGCTGCTGGAGCTGCCGGTACTGATGCAGCTGCGCCGACACGACTGTTCTTCGCTCCGCCGTCTCCGTCGTCTCTGCCGCCGTCTGACTCTGTTCTTCGTCAGGTTCTTACTCTCCCGTCGTCTACTGGTCTTCCGTTACAGCCTGGCTCACCGCTGCCTGCTCCTTCTCCTTACACTGAGCAGACTGGTAGTCCTGCTGAGCGTCGTGAGCCTGTGTCGCGTCCTGTCTCGCCTGCTCGTCCCGGTCGTCGTGTTCCTCGTTCGCGTCAGCAGGCTGTCCCCAGCACACACCTCGTAGTTCGTCGTCCTTCCTCTGCTCTGCAGCCTGTTCCTCTTCCGTCTCCTCCTGCGTCCTCTCTACCTGACGTTCCAGACCCTGAGTCTGACCGGTTTCGTGCTGAGCACCCTACTGTTACGCGTCTGCTAGCCACTGTTGTTACTGACCCGTCGTTTGAGTCTACTGCTGCGTCTGCTCTTGTCGCTGAGCTTGTTGACTTTGCTGCTGCCTGTCGTCTAGACTACGCCGCCAGTCTTGTTGCTGAGTCTGCGTCTGTCTGTCCTCCGTCCGTCGGGGGTGAGTGTGCTCTTAGCACGGACGTCCTTGAGGACAGGCAGGAGGAGTTCCAGTGTCTTGCTGCTGCTTTACCTCATCTTGTGTCCTCGCTACTTGCCCCTGAGGGAGACCCGGATGCACCAGACATCCCGACTCCGCGCTCTTACGCAGAGGCGATAGAGAGTCCCTACTCCTCTCAGTGGCAGGCAGCCATGGACGCAGAGATGGCTTCCTGGAAGTCCACAGGCACCTATGTCGACGAGGTTCCCCCACCTGGGGCGAACATCGTCAGTGGCATGTGGATTTTCAGGGTGAAGCGGCCGCCGGGTTCTCCGCCTGTCTTCAAGGCGCGTTACATGGCTCGAGGCTTCAGTCAGCGAGAGGGAGTTGACTTCTTCCAGACCTTCTCCCCCACCCCGAAGATGACCACTCTTCGGATGCTGCTGCACGTTGCTGCTCACCGTGACTACGAGCTTCACTCTCTTGACTTCAGCACTGCTTTCTTACAGGGCAGCCTGCACGAGGAGATCTGGCTGCGCCGCCCCCCGGGCTTCACTGGGTCGTTCCCTCCTGGCACCCAGTGGAGCCTCCGACGGCCGGTCTACGGTCTCCGCCAGGCGCCACGTGAGTGGCACGACACACTGAGGACGACACTTGCGGCTCTTGGGTTTGCGCCTTCTACTGCTGACCCGTCGCTGTTTCTGCGCACAGACACTTCACTGCCGCCGTTCTACATCCTCGTGTACGTCGACGACTTGGTTTTTGCCACTGCTGACACTGAGGCTCTCGCCCACGTGAAGTCGGAGCTACAGAAGAGACACACGTGCACTGACTTGGGTGAGCTGCGCAGCTACCTTGGCTTGCAGATCACCCGGGACAGAGCACGCCACACCATCACCTTGACTCAGTCACACATGGTGCAGCAGGTCCTTCAGCGCTTCGGCTTCACCTGGTCTTCAGCACAGGCCACTCCTCTGGCTACAGGTCACACGCTCTCAGCTCCACCTTCGGACGAGTCCGTAGAGCCGAGTGGTCCTTACCCAGAGCTAGTCGGCTGCCTCATGTACCTGATGACTTGCACTCGACCTGACCTCGCGTACCCTCTTGGTCTCCTCGCTCGCTACGTGGCTCCTGGTCGACACCGACCTGAGCACATGGCTGCTGCTAAGAGGGTACTGCGCTACTTGTGCAGCACATCAGGCATGGGGCTAGTGCTTGGAGGGACGAGCCCAGTTGTCCTCACTGGGCACTCAGACGCTTCTTGGGTTGACGACCTGGCTACTCAGCGGTCGTCACAGGGTTACACCTTCAGCCTTGGCTCTGGTTCAGTTTCGTGGCGTTCTACACGCTCGTCTTCAGTTCTCGGCTCCAGTTGTGAGGCTGAGATCTACGCCACCGCCATGGCTGCACAGGAGTTACGCTGGCTCACCTACCTGCTGACTGACTTGGGAGAGCAGCCTCGTTCTCCTCCAGTGCTGTACGTTGACAACAAGGCCGCCATTGCCTTGTGTGAGGAGCACAGACTGGAGCACAGAACGAAGCACATTGCTCTGCGTTACTTCCTGGCTCGAGAGTTGCAGCAGCGAGGCCAGCTTTGTCTTCGTTACGTGGCCACTCGGGCCAACACTGCTGATATATTCACCAAGGCACTTCCGTCTGGTGATCATCAGCGCTTTTGTACTCTGTTAGGCCTTGTGCCTACGCTTCCACACTTGCTGTAGTCTTTGCTTGTACTGTGATCTATATACATATATACCTGCATGCTGGCTCTTGCTAGGTAGCTCGACACTGTACTGTCATTGCTGCATATATATCTCTGCATGTGAACTGGCCTTGTGGCCATTTGCTTGTGCTCAGAATGTGTGGTGACGTTGTGATCCACCCTGAGCTTGTTTTGTTTCTCTTGACTGGTCTTGTGACCCGTTGCTCTCCCCCACTTTGCCTATGGGGGTGTGTCAAATGATATATATGTGTGATACATATAGGTAGGCTGTAGTGGGGTAGATGTTATAGGGGATAACCCCTTAGGGTTTTCCTACTTGTAAAATTTCTCTCGATAGTCAACTTCACCTTGCCTAGCTATCTCAACACTAGGGGGTTCTTAACGGGGGGGGATCGCATTGAGCGTGCGCGCTCATGCCCGCCTAGCCCACCTCCTCTCCTCATCGGGACTTGGGGGTTCTTAACGGGGGGGGATCGCTATGAGCTTTCGCGCTCAAGCCCGCCTAGCCCACCTCCTCTCCCTTCCCTCTCTCACCTCCCCTTTGTAAAAGGAGGTTCGTAAGCGGGTCCGCCGGTCCTGGCCCCCCACCTCCTCTCCTCTCCTCTTCTCTCCTCTCCTCTCACCTTCCTCACTTCTCTGCCTTCTTCCACAGCGCTTGTTCAGGGGGTGCTGGCTGCACCAGTTTCTACCGCACGCAAGCTAAAGGGGTGTGTCAAACAATATGTTTAATATATACCCTGCGTGCTGTAGGTACTGTAGTTATTATTATTAAGAGTTGGTGGTGCACCTTCTTTGTTGCTTTGCTATATGTACCTTGTGTACTATAGTGAAACCTCTCCTTGCCTAAACTCTCTCGACACTTTCTCCTCTTCACCCTAGCATGGCTCCTCACCTCTAGCTACTATCTTGACACAATCCCCCCCCCCCCCACCACTGCATGTTTGTTCATACTGCATACCCCTACACAACCCCCCTTCTCCCCTCCCCAGAGGATCATAGATTCACCTAACAGCAGTTTAAGGTGCCTCCCCTCCCCCCCGGTCCCTCCCACCCGGGCAGGTTATACGGTAATCCTTCCACAACTCACTAAATGCACGGTCAGAATGACCTTTCCTCCTCTGCAGCTTTAGGTTGGAGATGAGGGCAAAAGGAATCAAATGAAGGTACCAGACCAGCATTCAAATACGTAAGGAGCCATAGTAAGGAACAAAATGTTGTTACTCTTTTCATCGAACAATCCTGGAGTCATCCTTTCGAATGCCCATTGCTTTTTGTGCGTTCTTAATGCCCTTCGGATCTGCAACACGAAGGGGCAAATATGAAAACAAATCGAAAAGACAGACACAGCAGCAGGTGAAATATTCAGCAACATTGAGCTTGCTGAGTTTCATGTCAAAAAAAGATGCAGAAAACAAAGGTCTACCACTAAAAAAAAAAAAAACCAGAAACATCACTTACCAACAAACTGTGTGAAGATGCTTGTGAAGAAACCAAAGCTTCGTGCAATGGACTGTGCCACTGGCGCTGGCAAGGGCCTGAGGAAGGTGTCTAGGCTGAATACACGACGAAAGAACTGCATACCGTTCATATCCAAGATGTCAAACATCGGAAAAGAAGTTGGAAGGGGTGACTGAGAAATGAGAATGTGAAACTCTACAAAATCAGAGGCTAGAAGAACAACCAGAAATCGATACAGGCAATTATTCTGGGTACGTTGGTAGAAGAAAGGGAGGGGCGAAGGCGTGGGAGGTGGTGGCGGAGAGAGAGGGAGGGGTGGGCGAAGGACAAGACGGAGGAAGTGGGGGGGTTGTGGAGGGGGATAATGGGCGCTGTACAGAGCGGGAAGAGGAAACTCGATTATATGCGTATGTAACTACCAAAGGTGTGGGCGTGTGGTGCCGGGGGTAAGAGTGAGTATGCGTGTGTGTGTGTGTGTGTGTGTGTGTGTGTGTGTGTGTGTGTGTGTGTGTGTGGTGTGGGCGTTGAGTATGTGTGTGGGGGTGGAGGATGGGGGGAGGGGGGGGGGGGGGAGGACGGGGCATACGTGTGTGTGTGTGTGTGTGTGTGTGTGCGCGCGCGCGCGTGTTCATTAACCTTGTTATTCCTCCATAAATCGTTGGTTAATATTAAGAAGAAAAAAAAGTGAACTGGAAGAAAAGGCGCCACTGCACCTGACTCGTGGTTGCATCCCCGTCACAACAATGTCGCAAGTCCACATACGAATGCAAAAAATACGTACCATCATGTTGCGTTGAAAAGCAGCAACGAGCTCCGGGTCGAACTCGAACATGGCGTTGTTTTGATTAGGCGACGCTCGTCTTCTTGACAGAGCACCGGAGGATGGTGCCATGACAGCTCCCGACTGCTCAACACAAAGTTGCAATTGGAAAAACGTAACTCATAGACGAGGTGCGCGTTGAAAGCGAATCGTTCCACATGAGAACAACAAAATCTAGCTGACTGGATGCCAGGCACACGGAAGCAGCGAGTATTAAAGGGTTGATTAATGTCGTTTACAAGCTACATTATAGCAAAACTGGTGACGTCTTTGCCTGATCAGAACTAAGGAGGTAATGTATGCTGCTAACTTTTTTCAAGGAACATGAATAACAGCAACACAAACCTAGAAACCATGTGCATGGAAGGGGAAGGAGCCACGCAAAAGTACCTTTGGCGATGCTGAAGCGCGAACGCCAAGCCCAGCAAGGGGGTTCTCCTCTTCTGCACTTCGTGGCTTCCTGTCAAACGGCGAGGCTGCTGGACGAGGCATGGTTGTGGTGAACTTGCACGCTGATAGTGAGAATTAAGAAACGGCAGTGAGGACAGGGCCGCGCCGCTACGTCACTATTGACAGAGGAGACGGACTCTCGTCTTTGCCGTGGTAAGCGCCACCTAATCAAGTAATAAATCCTGATGGGAGCAGAAGGTGGAAGGCAAGCTTTTTTCAAGTGGGACATCTAGCTGGTCAACTGTGTACGCCCAGCCTGGGTGGAGTGGAGTGTGGTTGGGAGGACTCAGAGATTTCCATTTCGGATGACGAAACTGCTTGGGGGACAAATAAGTGGCTCGGATTGGCTAGGAAAAAGTCGAGGCAATGACGTGGCAGAGCTGCTTATGTCGAGGATATGAGTACCCTTATTACATTTGAATTGCGTGTAGTATTGCTTATGTGTTTGTATTATTCGTCGAAATTGAACCGAACCAAACCCAACCGCATCGTGAATGCGCCTCGCGTGTTGCTGAACAAGGCCTTCAGCTGACGGAGTGAACGGAGCGAATGATTCTGGCACCGCTAGTATGCTCTGGTTTCTGTTCACAATCATCACCAAAAAGGCTTGTGTGAATGAATTCCTTTGTCCGTACCTAGGAGTCTCCAAGCATGGAGGAGTCGCCTGATGTCGTCGTTGCTCCAGCCAGGAGACCTAGCGACCATGGAATGCGTAACCGGCTTAGTAGCACAACCGATAGACAGGTATTCAGCCATCAGCAATGCATTTCGGGCTTTGGATTTGTGAACATTCCTGCCTCACGTTAGTCTTTCTCAGGAGCAAGGAACATTCTCAGGAGCGTCCGTGTCTGAACATCCTCCACCTGTGTAAGCCTTCTAGCACCAGTCTTTAACGTCACATTTTTTTGCTCGTAGTTATCTCACACGTGTGTGCTCTTCGACAGGCAACACGCCGACAACGATCTGAAACGGAGTCAGTCAGTGGCTGTTGGAGCATACCATGTTCAAGAACCAGATGCCTCTCCTGCTGGGATTCGGAAGTATGGAAGTGGATCTTTCTTGGGTGGTCTTACCGGTAAGTCTCGTAGACTGTAGACGGAGTCAACTTTACGTCAAAGCTTGACGTCTGTACTATGTGCCATCAGGAACACTCCCAGAAAGCTCCATCAGGACATCCTTAAGCCGATCAAGGGGAGGATCATTGGCGATAAGCCGCGATGCGGTGAGTATTCTGATTATTAATAGCTTTTTGTCTCGTCAATGCTTACCTCAAGGTTATCGCAGGAAAAGGAGGCAAGAGCAGCATCAGTTTTCCCTGAAGAAAAACTCGGATTGGCACGCATTAAAGTGGTAAGCTAGACTGCAAAAGTCTACACGCTTTGTGGGATCACAGTCGCTAATAACATTCTATGCAGGAAAGGAGCAACAGTGCTGTGGGTACCCACACACAGGGATTGCTCTGCTCGTTAGCTCATGGAGACAAGAATTTAAATGGCATTCGAAGCGTCACACGGTTGATGGTAAGCTAAACTGTCCGTTTTTATCTCAGGAGCGTCTCACTAAACAATTATTACAGAACACAGGCCCCCAGATCAAGCAAGCTGTCTGCAACATGTGTGGTGATGCCGTGCCAGCGGATGAAGAGTACACACCATGCGAGTGTTCCTTCAGGATGTGCACCATTTGTTTGGATCATGTGCACAAGTTTGAAAGAAACCGCTGTCCAGGTTGTGGAGGAGATCTTCGTAGCCGAGAGCAATGTATGCAGCAGCAAGACCACGTTTTGTTTTGCACGTGAAGCATTTTGAGACATTTTAAAATTCGTGTCTCTTTTGCAGGGGTGATAATGCAAGCCATGCTCAATGAAACACCTCGGGCAGATGGAACTTCCTCTCCGACGAGGCTTGCAGGAACAGCATCAAAGCAGCTGCAAAGCATTAATGAGATTGAACAATCGGGACCTCAGGTACGCATTGGCAAGTTTATTGCGGTTCACTCCGTTGAAAGAAAGATAGCTGAAACTCCGTTCTTATGACTGCAGGTTCAGGGAGAAAAAAACTTGGTGCCTCTTCATCAAGATAACAGCATCATTCAAGCCAGCCAACCTCAATATGGATATGGCAGCGTTGCTTGGGAGCAGCCACCAACGAAGGCACCTGATCGATCTGTTCCGATGTAAGTGGCCTACGAGTGGCGTGTTGCTTACCTTACAGGACTTATGCCTTAATAATTCAATACCATTTACAGAGCTGACTGGAAAAAGAAGAGCTTGGCAAGAAAGTTGAGCTACCCTGGTAGCATTATCGGCCCTTACAGGTCTGTGCATCATGCAAACAAATTGTTTTTTTCTTCCATTTCCCTTTTTTTTTCATCCTCTGACTGATGAAAGTGCATTATTCTGCAGGATTGTTATTTTTATTCGCCTTTGTTCGATCGTTGGATTCCTTCAGTATCGGGTGGCCAACCCCACAGAGACAGGATATTGGCTTTGGCTGATGTCTGTGATTTGTGAAATATGGTACGAATGGTCTAACTACCTGTAACATTTCTGCTTTGAGGGAAGAGGTGTGAAAACTGATTTTCCTCTTTAACCTTGCAGGTTTGCTGTTTCGTGGGTACTTGATACACTTCCAAAATTGACTCCTGTCAAGAGAGAGACGTACAAAGACAGGCTGAAAGCTGTGTGAGTGTAACTCGTGTGTTATGTAAGCTTGTCATAGGCTGAAAAAAAGTCTCTAATTTCCTTATCTTGTAGGTATGACGATGGAGGCGAAACGCTCCCGCAGTTGGATGTTTTTATCACAACTGCTGATGCCACGAAGGAGCCACCTTTGGTCACAGCAAACACGATTCTTTCTGTGCTGGCAACGAACTACCCACCTGACAGGCAGGTTTCCACTCCGTTTAACCTCTTTCTTCATAGTTCCGTCAGTCACATTTCCCTTCTTTCTTTATGAGCAGAATCGCTTGTTACTTGTCTGATGATGGGGCGTCCAAGCTGATGTTTGATGCCATGGCCGAGACTGCTGGCTTTGCACGACTTTGGGTTCCATTTTGCAAGAAGCATAACATTGAGCCAAGGTCTCCAGATGCTTACTTCAGTCAGAACGTTGACTTTCTGAAAAACAAAGTGCATCCTGATTTTGTCAAGACTCGGCGCAAAGTGAAGGTATAATACGCTCATCAATGGACCGTGATGGTAGCTTCAAATTTTCATCACGTTTCAATCCCAATGCAGAGAGAATATGAGGAGTTCAAAGTTCGCATGAATGCACTGGTTGCTGAGAGCCGTTATCCCCCGGAGGAAGGCTGGATGCTAGAGGATGGAACACCCTGGCCAGGCAACAATAGACGTGATCACGACGGGATTATCCAGGTACAGGAACGCTTCCTTTTATCGTCTTCCATCCCCTGACCCCGATAAGTTACAATTGCAATGCCCTTACTGTTCATATATATACTGTCTTATACCAGGTATTTCTACACCCTGATGGAGATGTTCGTGACTTTGAGGGAGGAGTCCTTCCGCCTCTCATCTATGTTTCACGGGAAAAAAGGCCTGGACATGATCACAACAAAAAAGCAGGAGCAATGAATGCTCTCCTGAGAGCCAGCGGATTGATCACTAACGGTGCTGTGCTGATGAACTTGGATTGCGATCACTACATCAACAATGCTGATGCTATTCGTGATGTACGTTGTAACATCTGCTGTACGTCTGTCTCTTTGCCCAAGGAAACTGATATGTCTGGTGTTCTACAGGCCCTTTGCTTCTTCTTGGATCCCATACAAGGTTACACTACAGGCTTCGTGCAGTTCCCCCAGCGTTTTGATGGAATCGACAGGAATGACCGTTATGCAAACCATAACACTGTGTTCTTCGACATCAACATGAAAGGTCTTGATGGGCAGCAAGGGCCTGTGTACGTTGGCACAGGATGTTTTTTCCGTCGACGTGTAAGTGACTTTGTCATCAGTTTTTCACTTTCTAGTTCACCTGACTGTACGTCACAGTATAGGTAACCCCTCTGTTTCTTTTCAGGCTCTCTATGGTTATTTTCCCTCTCCTAATCCAAGCAAGGTTGGCATCCCAACGAAAGCCAAGAATAGTCTGTGGAGCTACCTGTGCTGCTGCTGTCTTCCCCGGCAGAGAAAGGAAGAGTCGTTGGATGGACATGAATCAAATGATCAGGGTATGTCGCATTATTGGCAAATGGTTTTTCCTTGCGCATTCCTTTCAGACTGATGACATCCTCTTCACTGTTTTTCCTTACTGATAACAGATTCCACTCAATTGGTGAAGAAACCCAAGCTTCCAGCAAGGCTCGGTGCTTGTGCCCATTTTGTCAACACTGCAAGTGGCGATGAGAACATGTCTGGAGATGTTGAGGAGCAGCCTTTGAGCCCAAGATCTATGCTTAGTGATGTTGTTCTTACCATCAGCTGTGACTATGAGGCCAACACAGATTGGGGCAAGACAGTGGGCTGGATGTATGGCTCAGTCACCGAGGACATTCTTACAGGGATGAAAATTCACACACGAGGGTGGCGTTCTGCTTATTGTGATCCAGAACGTGCTGCATTCAAGGGATCTGCTCCACTCAACATGACAGATCGTCTGCACCAAGTCGAGAGATGGGCCACAGGAGCTGTGGAGATCTTCTTCAGTGGAAGAAATCCATTATGGTCCCAGTGGGGAACTAAGCTGAAACTTCGTCAAAGGATAGCGTAAGTTGTTGGCTTGCTTGTCAACATTTTGGCTGACTTTTTTGGCTGACGTGCTTTTGCCTTTGAATGTACAGGTATGCAAACAACGCATTTTATCCATTCACTAGCGTGGCAATCTTCTCGTACTGTCTTCTGCCACCCCTAGCCCTGCTTACCGACTTTTTCTTTGTCCCAACGGTGAGGACTTGGCATCACAGAAGTCTGGTTTCCTCTGAATGTTCGTGACTGAGCGTCAGTTTTGACATTGCTCGTCTTGTGCTCCTGATTTGATTGGAATTTTAGCGTTCTCTGTTGTTGACCTGATTGTTCCTCTCTCTTGCAGCTGGATCGCTATGCAGTCATCTGGTTTGCTGTGCTCATCCTGTCGTTCCTGGCATCCTCTGTGCTGGAGCTGAAGTGGAGCAAAGTCTCTTTTGAAGCATGGTGGAGGAACGAGCAGTTTTGGTTAATTGCTGGGATAAGCTCCCATTTTGCAGCTGTTGTGCAGGTAAGAGAAGAGGTTTGACAGCTAGACTCTCTTTGATATTTTCCCAGTAGCAGTTTGCTTGCCCATCTGCTACTGGTTCTCCATGCATGCCTCCTAACTCACTGTTTCTATGCCTGCACAGGGTTTGCTGAAAGTCATTGCTGGATTGGAGATCAGCTTCACGTTGACTTCAAAAGGTGGAGACGAGGGAGACGTGGATGAGCTACATACTTTCAAGTTTTCTTGGCTGCTCCTTCCTGGGTGCTTCATCGGCCTTTTCAACATTTTGGGCATCATTGTGGGGGTTGGACGAGCAATGAGCTCAGATGGATCACAGGAATGGGGTAAGTGCTCATAAGCCCCATCAATCTGAGCTTGTTGCCCTTTTGCTTTGAGTTTTCTTATTGTAACAGAAACTCACTCTTTTTTCCCTTCCTGTGCCATGTATCATTGTGGTCCAATGACACGCCAACTTCTATGCTGTGCCTGTGTGCGTGGATATGATAATTTGCAGGGAAGCTTGCTGGCAAGCTAGTGTTCAGCTTCTGGGTCCTTGTCCATCTCTACCCATTCGCCAAGGGTCTGCTTGGGAAGAGGGATCGTGTTCCCACAATCGTCATTGTTTGGTCGGTGCTTCTCGTCGTCACTGTGGCTCTCCTGTGGTCCAATTTTATTGGAGGAAGCTTCTGAGAGCAAGTGGAGCCAGTTGCATAGTCAGGATGTAGTATTGTATAGTTGATGCAGGTACATTAGATTCATGTTATATTTAATACTGTAGATTACTACATGAGCACATCAGGTAGTCCCTGCACTGTTGGATTAACCAACCTTTTTTCATGCCATGATGGATACACTATACAGTTTTAACGTCAAGAGCGCCACTACCATTCAACAACGGATTGGGTTTTATTGTGTTTCTAAACGCAACTGTGTGATGTGAACCCTGCACCAACCTCATGATGCTTCTAGTGCTGGAGGAACTACTTGTCACACATATAGCAACCAGAAGCCATACGTTTAGGGAAATAACGTATGAGACGCCAGTTTTAACCAAGTGTCAGGGGAAGGGGAACTGATGGATCTCGAGCAGGATGTCAGAATGAAGCAGGCGATAGAAGAGGCCGAAGCGGTTGTGACAGGGTGGGAGGAGCAGGCGAGGGACGTCGTCGCCTGGCTCTGTGTTACGCTTTTTCTCATAAGAATGCGCCTATCCAACGTATCATGCAAGCGCTCGTGGATTGAATCGTGGAGCCTCGAACATCCAGGCATCTGCATCGAGACGTTTTGCCTCTGCCTGCATCTGCGCGACCGCTCCCTCCTTTACCATAGCCAGGGTCTCTGCTTTTCTCGCTGTGGTTGCCGTCGCTTCATCTGCAAGCCTAAGGAGTTCATCTTCTGACGGCACTTGCGGCGTCGCCACACGACGGGAAGGGCCTAGTCCAAACATCGTTGGTAATTAAGCAACAGCGTCTTGTCCAATCTGTCCTCGCACCAAATTCAAAGCAGCAGGGGAACAACGCGACAGCACAACCCTCTCATCCGTGAGACATGGTGGTGTTTCACAGCTCAAAAAACGTCAACAGCAACAGCTAATGGAGAATTGGAATTGAGAAGGTAGGTCTGCCAGTCAGTGAGTCCCGCGCTGCTCTTGTGGATGGTTGGCTTTGGTGTTGCCTCGCTGTAATTCCGCCAGCACATCCCCTTCGCTGGCTTTCCGACAGGCCAGAGGTTTGGCGGGAAACCGAACCAACATTCCTGCACCTTCTTGAATGCACAACACAGACAGCACAAAGAATGTAGATGCGCGCGAAAATGAACATTTTCAGCAATAGCGAAGTGAGTGCGACTGTATCGAGGTTGGAGATGTGCTGTCCCAGTTTGTGAGAGAGAGGGTCAGCCCGCCCCCGACAATCGAGGGTCGTTTGGTTGGGTGGGTCAGTCCAGCACACGACTGTTGAAACGGCGATGGCTTTGAAATCCGTTTTTCTAGGCACAGCATTGTTGAAACCAACCAGACGCACCAGTAGCTTGCAGTTTCCCCTCGAAACCTACTAGAACACGCGATATTGTTTACAAACCAATATAGAACGCATAGAACCGTATCTGATTGCCAGAATAGACGCCTGAGGCATAGGAACTAGTAGAGCTTCATTAGTTGCACACAAGGTATCAGTCCGCCGCAGAAGCGACAGTAGTTGAGCTGGTGCCTCGGTTCGGCAATCCCACGCTTGTCGCAACAGGAGCCATTCTTAGAAACAGCCCAACCAACAGTAGCAGTTTTATTTCCGAGTCTCCGAAACCTAATTCGATATTCTGTGAAGTTTAGGGTCTAACTAACGCCGGTTCTTTTGCGCGCAAGTATCGAGCTCTCCGCTATGCTAATCATTGCCATTAGGGTTAGGCGGGTCAGCGGCTTTCACTAATTTATTAGGCGACTTCTGGTGTGAAAATAACGTGTTATTCTGTTTTCCAAGCTGTAGCTGTGAGTATGCACCTACGAGGAATTCGCACGTGAACACCTTTTTAATTATTATCTGAGTGTCATGTATTGATGACGTGTCATGTGCGGATAATGGTCCGCCTATCATGGGCGTCGGTGGTGCGGAGGACTCTAACGGCAGGGGAGGAGGAGCCGGTGGCGTAGCGATACTACAGATAGCCGACCCCGTTATAGCATCAGGACGTGCGGACCCCGTTATAGCGTCAGGCCGTTTACCGTCTCCTGACAGCACCCCGCTTAGTAGCACAGCTGACGATTCAAAAGGTTACGAGCTCCCTCCTAAAAAATCCTCCTCCGCTTACCGCGATGCGTGGGCGGAGCTAAACGCTACTCTAGGCGCTGGGGAAAACAGTAGGGAGCTTGCAAAAGAGAGCAGCCGTTTAAGCAGGAGAGAAATACCTATGGCGGAAGGAGAGAGGCGGCGCGTGTCTAGATCGAGCCGCGGCCTTGGATTGGACGATTATGAAGACGAGCGGGAGCGCGGGAGCGGAGGGAGGTCGATTAACGGCGTATTGCGGCGCGAGAAATCCCCCCGTCCGGAGCGCGGCCGGCACCCAGTCGACGACTATGGAGGCGCTCGGCCGTCCACGTCAGGAGGGAGGAGAATGCGTCGCGACAACTCAGGCGGAGATGACCTGTCGACCGCCGGTGCTGGCCGGCCTCCTGATTGGTTGCGAGAATCCGGCGGCGCGGCTCGGCCGGCGACCAGCGGGGGGCGGCGAATCCGCTCGTCCGGTCTCGGGGGGATGGGGGGGGAGGAGGGCGGAACGCTTGTCTCTCCGCGGATGGGTGGGGACAGACCAGTTGGCTCCCCGCGCGCGATCCCCAAGTCGCACTCCGCCGCGCGCGCAGCGGGGGGGGGTTTCGGGGGGAGCGCGCGGGAGCGCTTGCAGTCCCCCCTGGCGGAAGACGCGGAGGAAATTATGTCGCCTTCTAGGGGGCGCTCTGTGAGTAAGTGGGTGGAGGAGTCTATTCAAGAAGGGGGAGCGGGCGCGGGGCCGGGGGGAGCAGGCGCAGGGGGAGGGGAGCGGGTTCCCGCAAACATGCGGTTTGCGCGACGGTGCAGGTCGGTGCAAGTGTATAACGCAGGAGATGACCCGGATAGTAAGATCAACCGGTCTGCTTCTAGCGCGTCCGAGGCTAAAGCTGCGCTCGGGGGAGCAGGGGCGGGAGGGGGCGGGGGAGCGGGTGGGGCGAGCAGCGGCGGCGGGCGACCGATTTCGCCGGATCGCGAAAGCATGTCGTCAACTTCGTCGTCTGTGCGACGGTACCATCCGAAACACGGAGACGACGATATCGGGTACGAAGATGGGGAGAGGCGGCCCCGGCGCAGGGCGTTAGGGGACGAAGACGATATGGGCAGGCGCGCGGGGAGCATGCGGGAGCGGGGGGACGGCGGGTTTGAACACACTCCCCGCACGCCCCCACCGCGCATGCGCTCGAGATACGCGGATGAGGGCGGGCCAATGCGGTCTCCGCTTAGGCGGAGGCCCGCGGGGGAAAGAGATCCGCACCGCCCGCCGTCCCGCCAGAGCTCTCATGCCTCTGACGCGGGGGACCCCGCCTCCGCGCCGCGCCCGCCCTCGCGGAGCAGCGGAGCAGGGGGGGAAATGCCCGCGCCCAGCCCCACGGGGAGGCTCCGAAGCGCAGCGGGCAGGCGGGGTGCGGCGGAACACGGGGAAGCGGGTGCGCGCCCGCGCACGCCCACGGGGATGGAAATGGGGGGACGGATGGGGTTTGCGGGGGAGGGGCTGAGCCGCCCGAAAACGGCGGATGTGCATGGGCGGAGGGCGGGGGTCCCCCGTTCCGCGTCGACCACTGAGGGGACTCCGCTGGCGGGAATGCTTTCCAAGGAGCGGGGGGAAAAGGGGGTTCCGCGCTCCGCGTCCGAATTGGTGGATGATGAGGAGGAGGGGGGCGGGTACGGGGGGCACAGGGGCGGGCGGTACAGCGGCGCACTACTGTCGAGAACGGTTGGGGGACCCGAGGGGGAATACGATGACGAGGAGGAGGCGGAGGAGGAGCTGCGCGCAATGGAGGAGAAGGAGCGCAGGCGCAGGCGCGCGGAACGCGCGCGCAGGATGCGCGAGGAAGTCCCCGAGGGGAGCCAAATGGACGGCGAGGATGCGTTTGACGAGGATTTCGACGATGAGGATGGCGGATACGGGCGGATGGGGACCGGGGGACGGGGGGAGAGGGAGCCGCGCAGGGGTTACAGGCGGCGTGAGGAGGATATTATGAGGGAAGAGCACAGACGATTAGCGTTGGAGTTAGAAAGAGAGAGGGAGGAGAGGCGGAAGCTTGCAGAGGAGTTGAAACGGCTGGAGAGGGAGACGAAGGAGAGGGAGGAGAGGAGGCGGATGGAGAAGGAACGCAGGCGCGCGGAGAAAGAGAAGCTAGTGGCGGAAGTGGCCGCGCTGCAGCTGCCCGCGGGGGCGGACGCGGAGGACGGGGGGACGGGGGAGGGGAGGCGGACTCCGCGCATGGGCGGGGGGATGCTGTCCCCCTTTGGCGGAAGGCAGAAAACGCCTGAGCGGGAGCGGAGAGGGGGGAATCGCCCTGTGACACCTGAGAGGAGACCTGTAACACCTGAGGGTATGCAGGCTAGACTGACCAGGAAAAACCGGGAGGTGATTCGGGCAGCCCGAAAAGAAGCAGCGGCAGGCGGGCAGGCGGAAAAGGCTGGGGATGGAGGGCAGGCGGCGCTGCAGCAGGTGCTGGTTAACATTCTGAAGCGGCCTTTTGCGGATGTCAGGGAGTCTTATAAGGTGGATAAGAGCGAGCTGGGGCGGGGCAGGTTCGGAGTGATCCGAGCCTGTGTGGATCGGGTGACAGGGGAGAGGCTTGCGTGCAAGACGATCAGCAAAGGCATGCTGCAGGTACGGCGAGGTTGCAAGTTGTAAGAGTAAGGGATGTTGCAGGTACAAGGGTGCAAGTTGTAAAAGTAAGAGATGCTGCAGGTACAAGGGTGCAAGTTGTAAGATTAAGAGATGCTGCAGGTACAAGGGTGCAAGTTGTAAGATTAAGAGATGCTGCAGGTACAAGGGTGCAAGTTGCAACTGTAAGGGATGCCGTAGGCACGGGAGTGCAAGTTGTGAGAGTAAATGCTGCAGTTATGGAATTGGGAGGGGTGGAAATGCTGCCACTGGTATGGGGGAAGCGAGAGAGAGGGTTATTGATCCCCCTTATCCATACCCTGTATCTGCTCCCCTTACAGGTACAGAGAGAGAGGGTTATTGATCCCCCTTATCCATACCCTGTATCTGCTCCCCTTACAGGTACAGAGAGAGAGGGTTATTGATCCCCCTTATCCATACCCTGTATCTGCTCCCCTTACAGGTACAGAGAGAGAGGGTTATTGATCCCCCTTATCCATACCCTGTATCTGCTCCCCTTACAGGTACAGAGAGAGAGGGTTATTGATCCCCCTTATCCATACCCTGTATCTGCTCCCCTTACAGGTACAGAGAGAGAGGGTTATTGATCCCCCTTATCCATACCCTGTATCTGCTCCCCTTACAGGTACAGAGAGAGAGGGTTATTGATCCCCCTTATCCATACCCTGTATCTGCTCCCCTTACAGGTACAGAGAGAGAGGGTTATTGATCCCCCTTATCCATACCCTGTATCTGCTCCCCTTACAGGTACAGAGAGAGAGGGTTATTGATCCCCCTTATCCATACCCTGTATCTGCTCCCCTTACAGGTACAGAGAGAGAGGGTTATTGATCCCCCTTATCCATACCCTGTATCTGCTCCCCTTACAGGTACAGAGAGAGAGGGTTATTGATCCCCCTTATCCATACCCTGTATCTGCTCCCCTTACAGGTACAGAGAGAGAGGGTTATTGATCCCCCTTATCCATACCCTGTATCTGCTCCCCTTACAGGTACAGAGAGAGAGGGTTATTGATCCCCCTTATCCATACCCTGTATCTGCTCCCCTTACAGGTACAGAGAGAGAGGGTTATTGATCCCCCTTATCCATACCCTGTATCTGCTCCCCTTACAGGTACAGAGAGAGAGGGTTATTGATCCCCCTTATCCATACCCTGTATCTGCTCCCCTTACAGGTACAGAGAGAGAGGGTTATTGATCCCCCTTATCCATACCCTGTATCTGCTCCCCTTACAGGTACAGAGAGAGAGGGTTATTGATCCCCCTTATCCATACCCTGTATCTGCTCCCCTTACAGGTACAGAGAGAGAGGGTTATTGATCCCCCTTATCCATACCCTGTATCTGCTCCCCTTACAGGTACAGAGAGAGAGGGTTATTGATCCCCCTTATCCATACCCTGTATCTGCTCCCCTTACAGGTACAGAGAGAGAGGGTTATTGATCCCCCTTATCCATACCCTGTATCTGCTCCCCTTACAGGTACAGAGAGAGAGGGTTATTGATCCCCCTTATCCATACCCTGTATCTGCTCCCCTTACAGGTACAGAGAGAGAGGGTTATTGATCCCCCTTATCCATACCCTGTATCTGCTCCCCTTACAGGTACAGAGAGAGAGGGTTATTGATCCCCCTTATCCATACCCTGTATCTGCTCCCCTTACAGGTACAGAGAGAGAGGGTTATTGATCCCCCTTATCCATACCCTGTATCTGCTCCCCTTACAGGTACAGAGAGAGAGGGTTATTGATCCCCCTTATCCATACCCTGTATCTGCTCCCCTTACAGGTACAGAGAGAGAGGGTTATTGATCCCCCTTATCCATACCCTGTATCTGCTCCCCTTACAGGTACAGAGAGAGAGGGTTATTGATCCCCCTTATCCATACCCTGTATCTGCTCCCCTTACAGGTACAGAGAGAGAGGGTTATTGATCCCCCTTATCCATACCCTGTATCTGCTCCCCTTACAGGTACAGAGAGAGAGGGTTATTGATCCCCCTTATCCATACCCTGTATCTGCTCCCCTTACAGGTACAGAGAGAGAGGGTTATTGATCCCCCTTATCCATACCCTGTATCTGCTCCCCTTACAGGTACAGAGAGAGAGGGTTATTGATCCCCCTTATCCATACCCTGTATCTGCTCCCCTTACAGGTACAGAGAGAGAGGGTTATTGATCCCCCTTATCCATACCCTGTATCTGCTCCCCTTACAGGTACAGAGAGAGAGGGTTATTGATCCCCCTTATCCATACCCTGTATCTGCTCCCCTTACAGGTACAGAGAGAGAGGGTTATTGATCCCCCTTATCCATACCCTGTATCTGCTCCCCTTACAGGTACAGAGAGAGAGGGTTATTGATCCCCCTTATCCATACCCTGTATCTGCTCCCCTTACAGGTACAGAGAGAGAGGGTTATTGATCCCCCTTATCCATACCCTGTATCTGCTCCCCTTACAGGTACAGAGAGAGAGGGTTATTGATCCCCCTTATCCATACCCTGTATCTGCTCCCCTTACAGGTACAGAGAGAGAGGGTTATTGATCCCCCTTATCCATACCCTGTATCTGCTCCCCTTACAGGTACAGAGAGAGAGGGTTATTGATCCCCCTTATCCATACCCTGTATCTGCTCCCCTTACAGGTACAGAGAGAGAGGGTTATTGATCCCCCTTATCCATACCCTGTATCTGCTCCCCTTACAGGTACAGAGAGAGAGGGTTATTGATCCCCCTTATCCATACCCTGTATCTGCTCCCCTTACAGGTACAGAGAGAGAGGGTTATTGATCCCCCTTATCCATACCCTGTATCTGCTCCCCTTACAGGTACAGAGAGAGAGGGTTATTGATCCCCCTTATCCATACCCTGTATCTGCTCCCCTTACAGGTACAGAGAGAGAGGGTTATTGATCCCCCTTATCCATACCCTGTATCTGCTCCCCTTACAGGTACAGAGAGAGAGGGTTATTGATCCCCCTTATCCATACCCTGTATCTGCTCCCCTTACAGGTACAGAGAGAGAGGGTTATTGATCCCCCTTATCCATACCCTGTATCTGCTCCCCTTACAGGTACAGAGAGAGAGGGTTATTGATCCCCCTTATCCATACCCTGTATCTGCTCCCCTTACAGGTACAGAGAGAGAGGGTTATTGATCCCCCTTATCCATACCCTGTATCTGCTCCCCTTACAGGTACAGAGAGAGAGGGTTATTGATCCCCCTTATCCATACCCTGTATCTGCTCCCCTTACAGGTACAGAGAGAGAGGGTTATTGATCCCCCTTATCCATACCCTGTATCTGCTCCCCTTACAGGTACAGAGAGAGAGGGTTATTGATCCCCCTTATCCATACCCTGTATCTGCTCCCCTTACAGGTACAGAGAGAGAGGGTTATTGATCCCCCTTATCCATACCCTGTATCTGCTCCCCTTACAGGTACAGAGAGAGAGGGTTATTGATCCCCCTTATCCATACCCTGTATCTGCTCCCCTTACAGGTACAGAGAGAGAGGGTTATTGATCCCCCTTATCCATACCCTGTATCTGCTCCCCTTACAGGTACAGAGAGAGAGGGTTATTGATCCCCCTTATCCATACCCTGTATCTGCTCCCCTTACAGGTACAGAGAGAGAGGGTTATTGATCCCCCTTATCCATACCCTGTATCTGCTCCCCTTACAGGTACAGAGAGAGAGGGTTATTGATCCCCCTTATCCATACCCTGTATCTGCTCCCCTTACAGGTACAGAGAGAGAGGGTTATTGATCCCCCTTATCCATACCCTGTATCTGCTCCCCTTACAGGTACAGAGAGAGAGGGTTATTGATCCCCCTTATCCATACCCTGTATCTGCTCCCCTTACAGGTACAGAGAGAGAGGGTTATTGATCCCCCTTATCCATACCCTGTATCTGCTCCCCTTACAGGTACAGAGAGAGAGGGTTATTGATCCCCCTTATCCATACCCTGTATCTGCTCCCCTTACAGGTACAGAGAGAGAGGGTTATTGATCCCCCTTATCCATACCCTGTATCTGCTCCCCTTACAGGTACAGAGAGAGAGGGTTATTGATCCCCCTTATCCATACCCTGTATCTGCTCCCCTTACAGGTACAGAGAGAGAGGGTTATTGATCCCCCTTATCCATACCCTGTATCTGCTCCCCTTACAGGTACAGAGAGAGAGGGTTATTGATCCCCCTTATCCATACCCTGTATCTGCTCCCCTTACAGGTACAGAGAGAGAGGGTTATTGATCCCCCTTATCCATACCCTGTATCTGCTCCCCTTACAGGTACAGAGAGAGAGGGTTATTGATCCCCCTTATCCATACCCTGTATCTGCTCCCCTTACAGGTACAGAGAGAGAGGGTTATTGATCCCCCTTATCCATACCCTGTATCTGCTCCCCTTACAGGTACAGAGAGAGAGGGTTATTGATCCCCCTTATCCATACCCTGTATCTGCTCCCCTTACAGGTACAGAGAGAGAGGGTTATTGATCCCCCTTATCCATACCCTGTATCTGCTCCCCTTACAGGTACAGAGAGAGAGGGTTATTGATCCCCCTTATCCATACCCTGTATCTGCTCCCCTTACAGGTACAGAGAGAGAGGGTTATTGATCCCCCTTATCCATACCCTGTATCTGCTCCCCTTACAGGTACAGAGAGAGAGGGTTATTGATCCCCCTTATCCATACCCTGTATCTGCTCCCCTTACAGGTACAGAGAGAGAGGGTTATTGATCCCCCTTATCCATACCCTGTATCTGCTCCCCTTACAGGTACAGAGAGAGAGGGTTATTGATCCCCCTTATCCATACCCTGTATCTGCTCCCCTTACAGGTACAGAGAGAGAGGGTTATTGATCCCCCTTATCCATACCCTGTATCTGCTCCCCTTACAGGTACAGAGAGAGAGGGTTATTGATCCCCCTTATCCATACCCTGTATCTGCTCCCCTTACAGGTACAGAGAGAGAGGGTTATTGATCCCCCTTATCCATACCCTGTATCTGC